AACCAGGAAAAAATCCTGTTTTAAACAAATGGGAAAAAATTTCTGGGAATTAATATCGCTAAGGAAGAATGAAGAATGGAATACAACATTGGTTAATTCTTCATCTATTAGTTCACTGTCTAAATTTACTAGAAACACAATATAAAGTTGCCAATATGTGGTATTGGGTTCCAACAAGAAAAGCAAAAATGTTCCCTTCTCAATCAAATTTATGCTGGAGATGTAACAAATTGAAAGGAACATATATACAAATACGGTGGGAGTGTGAACTGGCCAAAGAAATCTGGAAAAATGTTGCTTACTCATATGCTATTTGCCATAAAACTAATTATAGCACAATGCTGGAAAACTAATAATAAACCATCTTAGCACAAAGCAAAAGAGCAATTAACATACCAAATTCAAATGGAAAGAGATATTTCGAGCACTTTATTACATTCAGTTAAAAAAAATACATATATGGGATCACAAAAATAAAAATCTAGTATTGTCACTCTCAGTTTACTGGTTTGCTTTCTCTTCCAGGAACAAATATAGTTGTGGATGTAATGTACAAGCAGTGGCGTACTAGGGGGGGGGGGACAGAGCTGCAGACCATGTGTCTCGCGAGATCTGATCAGAGCATTGCCGCGGGTTACCATGGCAACGCTTTGACGGTGTCTCTTGAGATTCATGGTCTGCAGACTGGATATTATGGCCACCATACCACCAAGGAATTAAGGTAGTCTCCCCCATCACGCCCCCTCTCACCATCACCCTCCTCTCCCTCTCATCATCACCCCACTTACACCATCACCCACTAAACAAGCACACACACTGCATCCACTACACAAACACACTGCATTCACTATACATGTGTCTGTTTATCTGTATGTCTTTGTATATGCATGTGTGTTGGTATATTTGTATCTGTATGTCTGTATGTGTCAGTGTGTGTATGTGTATCTGTTTGTGTGTCTGTGTTTGTATCAGTGTGTCTGTACTTGTATCTGTGTATGACTGTGTTTCTATGTAACTGCAAGTGTGTATCTATGTGTCTGTATATGTAAGTATATGTGCATACATCTCGGCATTTCGCCTACACTACACACAAATACAACCCTGCATCCAAATGTCAGCACTACATAAAAACACACCACCATATTCAAAAATCACACTACAGAAAAATGCACATTTGCATTCAAATGCCAATACGTACACACTCGTATATTCACTCACACATACTCCATACAAAAACATGCTTACATTCAAACACACAAACACTGCTTCGGTGTTAAATACATTTTTAAAAATTGCGGGTTTTAAAAAAAAAATTAAGCTGGGGAGGTGCCAAATGTAGGATCCGCCGCAGGTGCCAAATACTCCAGGTACGTCCCTGTGTACAAAGCAATTATATCTTTAAAAAAAAAATTTTTTAAACTATGAAATAATTCTAATAAAGATTATAAATAAAAAGAAAACATTTTTTTTTTTAAATGTGGCTTCCTCTAAGGGGAAAAATTCCTTTTGCTTTTTCGATTTCCGCATATAGCGCTTTGGCCTAGCCTGTACTGACGCTACCCTTTTTGTGCTGAGAGAGAAATTGTACAAGTATAAACGACTAATATGCAAAATGACAGGAATATATTTATGGATACTGGGCCTAGCACCCAGCAAACAGATTTCACCATAAACTATGCTGTTGAACGTAGTCCTGACAGACGACTAAATATGATGAGTTTGGTCATCCCTTCTGGGAAAAGCGAATCCTGCCCAATACTCATCAACTTCTGGGTCAGCAATTAGTTTAATCAAAGAACACAGACACTCAAGCACAAAGCAATTCTTTGTAGTGTATCGCTGTACAACAATCCACTGTATGTCACGTAAAATTTTAATGATGTAAAAATGAAAAATAATGACATTGGTAGTCTGCCAATATAATTACATCACACAGGGGAAAAAAAGAATCCAATTTGCAAAACAATATTGATATGCTGATTGGTCCAGACAAGGTAATGTTTATACCATGTGATTTAGCTCAACATTTAAATATGTTAAGTGAAAGAAATGGCATAAGTAATCCGTGAAATAAATCAAAACTGCAAAAGTACATTACCTAGAGTAAAAGGCGGCCAAATGGAGCATGTTTTAAACTTAAATACAAATATATTATTTATAAAATATTTTACCAGGAAAGATACATTGAGATTCCTCTCGTTTTCAAGTATGTCCTGGGTCTACAAAACATTGCATTGATACATTAGGGTACAATAAAATACAAAAACAATATTAATACACAATATATACAAAATTTAACATAGAGCAGGTATGAAATATATAATCAACCATAACACGTGCATTCTGTTTTGAGGTATGTAGAAAGGGATCGCTTAAAGGACTTTAGGCTTGGGGAAGATTTTAAAGTGTGCAGGAGGTCGTTCCATAATTGTGGCGCTCTGTAGGAAAAGGAGGATCGGGCCATAGATACAGATTATATATATATCAGATTCCCTGTCCCTGGATTATTGTTGTACATTGACTGGTCCGGTATACGAACATCACCGAACAGATTGAATAATTTGGTTCATATACTGAACCACATACTGAATGGATTGACCACCCAGAACAGTCGTGTGCCGCTCATTAACCTGCCTGAACTCTTTTAACACTTTCGCAAATCGCAATTACCAACATTCTAAGTGGTCGACTGGGTGGCCATCGTTTGTATGGACGAACACGAGGCAGCAGCCATCTTGGTTTTGCGAACGCATACAGCAGTGTTTGACCATCAAGTGTATGGAACTAAAAATCGGCCACTCAATGGCGCGAACACCGTTGGGTATGTTCGGTTTGGTTCAACTCACTAGAGCAGTGTTCGGTAGAAACAAACTCCCGAACGAGGGGCAAATGACCAACTCTTATACGAACAGATACTTTCGGTATTTTATTGTGTTTTGTACTCCCGAAAGAGACCGACCATAGAGCCTTAATCTATGGAACTCTTTCGGGCAGGCGCCTCGTGTGCGGTCAGTCTAAACTATACCCCGGCGGCGCTTTGGTTGCGTTTGTGGGATCTGAGCTCTTTTCGGATATAATGGGCGTTCAGATCCAGGCTATCTGGGGATATCTAATTGTTAAAGGCATATTTCAGCACACTTTTTGTGCAGCACCTCAGTCAGCTCCCAGTGTAAGTCTCGCGAGAGCCGCGGGGTCATAGTGCGGCTCTCGCGAGACTTACAGTGTGAGCTGAGAGAAGAGCTGCACGGACCGGCGCGGAGGAGGAGAGAGCTGACAGGAGCTGCAGGAGAGGTAAGTAACAGCTCTGCCAGCCCCCTTCCTCCCCCCACTGAACTGCCAATGCCACTGGACCACCAGGGAAGGAGAGCCCCCCTCCCTGCCATGTATCAAGCAGGGAGGGGGGACAACAAAATAAATAAATTAATAATAAATAATAAAAAATAAAAATAATAATAAACAAAATAATAATATAACAAAAAAATGAACTAAAAACTAAATAAAATAATACATAAATAATAATAAAAAAATAAAAAATAATAATAAAAAAATTATTAAAAAAATAATAATATAACAAAAAAAAATGTAAATAATATTAATTTTTTTTTTATAAAAATGCCCACCCCCCACCAAGGCTCTGCAACACAAACACACACTGCATCACACACACACACACACACTGCATCACACACACTGCATCACACACACTGCATACACACACACTGCATCACACACACACTGCATCACACACACTGCATTCATACACACACACTGCACACTGCACTCATACACACATACACTGCATTCATACACACATACACTGCATTCATACACACACACTGCATTCATACACACACACTGCATTCATACACACACACTGCATTCATACACACATACACTGCACTCATACACACACACTGCATTCATACACACATACACACACTGCGCACTCATATACACACTGCATTTATACACACACTGCGCACTCATACACACACACTGCATTCATCATATACACACACTGTAAATAAATATTCAATTAATATAATTTTTTTAGGATCTAATTTTATTTAGAAATTTACCAGTAGCTGCTGCATTTCCCACCCTAGTCTTATACTCAAGTCAATAAGTTTTCCCAGTTTTTTGGGGTAAAATTAGGGGCCTCGGCTTATATTCGGGTCGGCTTATACTCGAGTATATACGGTAATTATGTTGTGTACTTTGTGGCAGTCTACTCTCAAGTCCAGTGGGGAATGCCCCTGGAATACATAAAAGGAAACCCCTTGCATTTGGATTCACATAAAAGGCCATGTGTGGTCCCATTCAAATCAGTACCTGCTTACCCTCAACACAGAGCCTCGTCTCATGATTGTAGGGAACCGCTATACCTGCTTTGTTACTGCTTAGGAATACTTCAGCATTGCTCATACTAGGGGAAAGGGACATCTCTGGCAGCGGAAACTCCTCTGCTCCAGTGGTGGCTGGAACTATATATAGAATTTTATATACACACAATATATATATATATATATATATATATATATATATACACACACACACATACACACACACACACACACACACACACACACCTTAAGTTGGACTTAAGACCAAGTACCTTTAGCAATGGACTCTGTATTTAACAGTTTTTTTTTTTTTAAACCGGCAGCAAAAGCACCAATGAACAAAAACCAAACATAGTCATGTTCAGTTTTGACCCTGTGAGTCTCATCTGCATGGTGCCAATTGTGTACCCACAGTACAGTACTAAATGAACAAAATAATTCCAACATGAGAAAGTTAGTCTAAATATTGCACTTCTAAGAGAATAATAACCCTGTAAATGTGTGCATATTAAATCAGTTCTAATATGTAGACACATAATGATTATAATTTTTTTCCCCTCAGTTTTTCCAGATTTGCTGAATGCAATACCTGCCAGCATGCATGTTAGCGTTATTACGTTCTCCATAACACTGCTAGTCTTCGCGTTGGTGGGTACAGCCTTCTTCATGTTCAATGCCTTCGGTAACCCATACCAAACATTTCATGGACCTGTAGGACTGTACTTCTGGAGCTTCATCTCGTGTAAGTATTCTGCAGATATCCGTAACCTGCCGCCTTAAAAACAAATCCAATTTGCCAATACAAATATTTGAGAAGTATAGTGAAGAAGCTGAAACTCTTCATGCAAATTCCCAAACTGAGGAGATGGGCTTACGGTTTTAGGAAACTGTGGTTTGAAAACAGTTTAATAAAAACCAGAGGGAGTGCACCAATTGAGTTATTGCATTTTAACCTTTTAATTTGCAGGAATGGCTATGGAGCTTGGAATGTCTTTGTATATAGGATTACCTCTAAAAATATTCCTTCCCATGAATTATACTTCTATTTTGATAGGATCACTGTAAATAGTTTTTCCTTTCATTGTGTTTAAAATCACTCACTGCTTGTCACATGCACTCCCCATTCAGCAGATTTTCATTTAAAGGGACACTGTAGTCACTATAACCATTTCATCTCTGTGAATTGGTGACAGTGCCTAGAGTCGAGCTGGTCCCTCCATTCATTGTTAAGCCATTGTCGAGCAGTTTAACACTAAATAAGGGTCACTAGCCACATAGAGATGGAACCCCTACTGGGTGTATGGCTAAGGCAGGTATTACACACTTCCTTCTAGCCATATACACTAGTACCGTGAATGGGCACTCTGATAGGATAAAAGCAGTCAGCTAATACGCCCAGTCAATCACAGCTGCCGTTGTTGCACATACAATTACTTCCTCATGAGCCCAAGCTGCACAGATGGGATGTGATGCTGGAAACTCTTGTTTAGTAGTAAAGCACAAAAACAACATTAAAAACGGGTTAAAGCTCAATAAATGTGCTGCACCAGGGACTCCAGACACTAAAATCAGTCCAATGAGATGAAGCAGATAAAGTGTCTACAGTGTTCCTTTAACAGAAAATTCAGCATGGAATTGTTCAAACTGAATCTTGCCAGTCAGGTATCCAAGGATTTTTTCAAAGGCATGTGTATTGCAGCACTGCAGAAGTTAATTGTAGTGGCAGAAATTTCTTAAAAAAAAGATTTAGTTTTGTATCCCAAAAGAAGGTATATTGGATCGAATTTTGACTTTGAAAAATAAAATGTATTTGTTTTCATTTTCCTTTTCTTAGGTTCCTGCGGCAGCCTTGTTTTAATCCTCTTCTCATCAGAAGTTAAAATACACAATCTAACAGAGAAAATTGCTAATTATAAAGAAGTTGGATTTATATTTAAAACAGAGAGTGAACAATTTGAGAATTCCTTCTGGATCATATTGGTTTGTATCCTTGTGCACAGTTTCAATATCTGCTTGATTCGATTAGCCGGCTTTGATTTTCCTTTTACGAAATCTAAAGACCTTGATACAAGTTCAGGTGCTATTGACCTGATGTACTAAGATCACACATATATCACCTGGAAAAAACAGTGACAGTAGGCTTTCTGTTTGTGTGAACCTGCATACTGAAGTATTCCTTTACTACACGTAGCTAGGATTGTATTCAGTACCACCAAGAATACTGGCTCTCAATCAGTTGTCTAGATTATATGGAATGATTCAACAATGGGTATTTTGCACCAAACCTTTACAGTATGGATGGTATGTGTTCTTCGATAAATAATTGTATCTGACATTTTATGAATACAATTAGTACTTTTCTGGAAACAGAATTATACATCTATAAAGTTCATTTTTATCGGTTAAGTAGAAAATCTGATTACAAGGTGGTCTTCAAGTCAATATTTTTGCTTGATGTTCTGTTAAATGCAGTGACTGTCCATTTAACGAAGAATAAGGGGAAGAATATACGAAGTCTTCTAGACGTCAGCTAGAGCTCTTCTACTACAATTTTTATTGAAAGAAAAATGAGCAATGACCTTCAGAATTCGGATTAGTGATATGTATTCAACTCCATTAGCTACATCCATCAATACTGGACATTTTATGACACATCCACTGGATGTGGAAACAGTACTTCAGTATTTATCAGAAGGAGTGTTATATATTTTATATAATGCGGTGGTATTAAGGTACCAACAATGAACTGAAGATTTTCTTGATGGTCTACCCAAACTGTACAAAAATATGCTGGGTTTGCAAAATGAGAAACATCAGGATTTCAAAGTGTGTATGTAGATCTACTAATATAGAGTAACACCTTCAGCAAATTAAAACTCGCAAACTATGCAACTTACACATGTGGCTAACATTAAAACAAATGGCCAAGTAAAATAATACACACAAATAAATAAGAAATAAAATACAAAGAATGAAGTTGCCCGAGTAGACCAGTCAGTTTTTGTAATCAAAAACTAAAGTGAGAATTCAAAATCAAATTCAATTGAATGTTAAAATAGCCAAACTGGAAAAATGCTTTGTTAGAGTAGACAATTCAATTTGATTTCTCACTTAAAGGACCACTATAGTGCCAGGAAAACAAACATGCCCTGAGGGTGCCCCCACCCTCAGGGTCCCACTCCCGCCGGGCTGAAGGGGGTTAAACACTCAACTGTCACCAGCGCCGTGCTTTGAAAAATAAAATGTATTTGTTTTAATTATAGTGCCAGGAAAAGAAACCGGTTTTCCTGGCACTATAGGATTCTGTAGTGCCCCCCTCCCTCAGGGCTAAAATACCTGCAGCCACTTACCTGAATCCAGCGCCGATGTCCCTCGGCCCTGGGTCAGGCTCCTCCCCCGCACATTAAACCTCCCCATAGGAGAGGAAGTCCAGCGTCAGATAACGGACCAAAAGACCATTTAGATTCCAGGAAGCCCTCTAGTGGCTGTCTGGTAGACAGCCACAGAGGGCAAACTTAGAGCTGCAATGTAAACATTGCAGTTCTCTGGAACTGCAGTGTTTTACATTGCAGCACTAAGTGCAAAAGGCTCACAGCACCCAGACTACTTCAATTAGCTGAAGTGGTCTGGGTGCCTACAGTGTCCCTTTAATTTTTATTAGTAATGTGAAAATATGGATGATGTTTGCACAAAAGGAATTTGTTTGGGAGAGGTTGGTTTATTTTGTAAAATAGCATTTGAATGTGCAGGTTTTATGCCATGTCTACAATTTTATGTCTACAATGTATATTGTTTTGTGTATGTTTGCATACTTGTTAATATGTGAGGTATTGTATACAGGTATAATAGTGTTGGTCCCTCAATCTGTATTTGTGTAAATTATTATATGTATTCCCCTTTTTTACATTTTGCATAATTAATACATTAGAATCGAGTTAGAAAAATTAACACTTAAAATAAGTCACACAATCATATTACATTTTTTATAGCTCATCATAAAAAAAAAATCCAACAAACCCTAAAACAACATGTTACACAACGGTAACCAAGTAATATGTACTTAGTATTTAAGTGTATTAAAGAAATAGTAATGAAAATATCCTGCAATTAAATTGACGCTATAGGCATCCAGACCACTTAAGCTCATTGAAGTGGTCTGGGTGCAAAGTCCGTGTCCCCTTTACTCCTGCAATGTAAATCATTGCAGTTTTTGAGAAACTGCAACACTTACATTCAGGAGTAAGACCGCCTCCAGTGGCCGTCAACCAGACAGCTAAAAGAGGCACTTCCTGGTGGATAAGTGATATTTGGTCACCTTACTGATGCTGGACATCCTCACTCTGTGCGTGAAGACATCTAGCTTCAGTAAAATCCCAATAGGAAAGCATTGAAGCAATGCTTTCCTTTGGGGAGGGCCTAATGCACTCGCCGCACACAAACCGCACATACACATTAGGTCTCCTCCATCGGAGGACACTGAGCATTGACCCAAAGCCAAGGGAGAACGGTGCTGGAATCGGGTGTGTAATAAACTTTCCATGCCAGGGCAGGGGGAGAGGCGAGGTGGTGCGGCCGAGGGAACTATAGTGTAAGGAGTAGAACTTTGTATTCCTTACACTATAGAGTCCCTTTAAAGGGACACTTTACTGTCCAATACAATAAAGAAATACATACATAACTAATTTTTTTTTTTTTAAATCAATGTTTAGTAGATATATCCAGTGAAAACAGGCATGCATTTAAATTATGTATTTTTTTCATTTGGAGTATATCTAAAAAAAACAAAAAAAGAAAAAAAAAGGCTACTCTTGTCTGTAGCCTTTGCAAGTCCTCTCCTTCTTCCCCAGCCCAGACTTTCTGTGGCTGTAAAATCCCAAACTTCCCGATGTAGCTCAATGAGAAGTCTTGGCAAGGTAGGTACTCTGGGCATTTAACCCCTTCAGACCGGAGGACGTACAATTACTCCCTATTTTAGGCGGCTCTAAACGCCGCGGGGCGTAATTGTACGCCCTCCGGCTTTTGTTCACTTACCCGGGGAGCCCCCCCGTGGCAGATCCTCCTCCTCCGGTGCCCCCCGGCCATGTGAGAGTAGGGTCCTTGCGAGGACCCTACAATCACATGGCCAGGTAGGCTGCCTCCTGCATTGCCAGCAGGGGGGCTGCCTGTAATGACAGGTGGTCCCCCTGCTGGCTGAAAATAAAATTAAAATAAAATTTATTAGTGTAAAAAAAAAAAAAATATATATATATATATATATATATATATATATATATACACACATATACATACACACATACACTGTCTAGGTGTATTTTACTATTAATATTTTATATATAATTATTGTTATATATATATTTATATAATATAAAAAAATTAAATATGTAAATACGTTAAAAAATAAAATTTAAAAAATAATTACATTTTTTTTTTTTAAATATAGATGTGTGTTGTTTTGTTCTAACTGTATTGTGATATTTATATATTTATATCAAAATACACGTAGAACGAAATAATATATATATCTACATACATAAATATATACGTATATATATATATATATATACCCCTATATATAAATACAAATATTAAAAAAAAAATAGATATACACATATAGATTCACATACGTATATATATATATATATATATATATGTATATATATACACATATATTAATTCTACATCTATATTTATGTAATATTTTTACATAATTAGGTATTTTAATTAATTACAATTAGCGGGACCTGCCTGACAACCCATGCCGAAAGTAAAGGGAATTTAATTTGCTAGCACTATATTTAACCCTATAACTTTCCAAGACACCATAAAACCTGTACATGGGGGGTACTGTTCTACTCGGGAGACTTCGTTGAACACAAATATTAGTGTTTCAAAACAGTAAAATTTATTACAACGATGATATCGCCAGTAAAAGTGACGTTTTTTGCATTTTTCATGCACAAACAGCACTTACACTGATGATATTATTGCTGTGATACTTTTTACTGTTTTGAAACACAAATATTTGTGTTCAGCGAAGTCTCCCGAGTACAACAGTACCCCTCGTGTACAGGTTTTATTGTATTTTCAAAAGTTACATCATCAAATATAAGGCTTGCATTTCATTTTTTTCACATTAAAATTCGTCAGATTGGTTACGGTGCCTTTGAGACCCTATGGTAGCCCGAGAATGAAAATTACCCCTATGATGGCATACCATTTGCAATTGTAGACAACCCAAGGTATTGCAAACGGGGTATGTCCAGTCTTTTTTAGTAGCCACTTAGTCACAAACACTGGCCAAAACTGGCGTTTTTTTGCATTTTTCACACAAACAAATACTAACGCTAACTTTGGCCAGTGTTTGTGACCAAATGGCTACTAAAAAAGACTGGACATACCCCATTTGCAATACCTTGGGTTGTCTACTATTGCAAATGGTATGCCATTATGGGTGTAAATTTCATTCCTGGCTACTATACAGTCTCAAAGGCAACGTAACCAATCTGGCGAATTTCAATTTCAAATGTAACGTGCTATATTTGACCCTGTAACTTCCCAAAACGCCATAAAACCTGTACATAGGGGGTACTGTTTTACACGTGAGACTTTGCTGAATACAAATATGTGTATTTTATTGCAGTAAAAGCAAACAGTATTATGATATTGACAGTTAAAATGTCATGTAGAACTAAAAAAAAAAATTAATTGTTTACATTTTGTTTCGTTCACAACGTGTACATTTGGCTCAGTCCTTAAGGGGTTAACTGCCTCTTGAGTTTAGCTCCAATGAGATAAACAAACAAGGAATTAAAGGGACTCTCCAGTGCCAGGAAAACAATCAGTTTTCCTGGCATTGCAGGTCCCCCCTCCCTCCCACCACCCGTCCCTCAGCAGTGGTTTCGGGTCGCCGCCACTCCTCCCAGTGATTACGTCAGCCGGTGGACGAGACTGATCCCGCCCGCCGGCTGAGGAAACCTAATGCGCATGCGCGGCAATGCTGCGCACGCGCATTAGAGCTCTCCATAGGAAAGCATTGAAAAAAAATTTCAATGCTTTCCTATGGGGAATTGAGCAACAATGGAGGTCCTCACATAGCGTGAGGACGTCCAGCGACGCTCTAGCACAGGTTTCCTGTGCTATGGACATGGAAGTGCCCTCTAGTGGCTGTCTTGACAGCCACTAGGGGAGGACTTAACCCTGCAAGGTAACTATTGCAGTTTATAAAAAAGTGGGAGTTGGCACGCAGACCACTCCAATGGGCAGAAGTGGTCTGGGTGCCTGGAGTGTCCCTTTAACAGGTTGTGTGACTGTTAGCCAGAATGGACAGCCAGGTTAAAAATAAAATAAATACATTTTTTAAAAAGTGCCAATTTCTGTTCAAATCTGCACTTTGTAAAATAAAAGAGGACAGACAATTCAGCAAGCTGGTGTGTTTTAAGGGTCTGAGTGTCCATTTAACTTAAAGGGACACTATTGTCACCAAAACAACTTTAGCTTAATGAAACAGTATTGGTGTATAGATCATGCCCCTGCAGACTCTGTGTTCAATTATCTGCCATTTAGGAGTTAATAACTTTGTTTATGAACCCTAGTCACACCTCCCTGCATGTAACTTGTACAGCCTTCCATGAACACTTCCTGTAAAGAGCCATCTAATGTTTGTCTTTCCTTTATTGCAAGTTCTGTTTAATTTAGATTTTCTTATACCCTGCTATGTTAATGGCTTGTTAGACCCTGCAAGAGCACCCTGTATGTGATTAAAGTTCAATTTACAGAGCAAGAGATAAAATTAAGGTAAATTACATCTGATTGAAAGTGAAGCCAGTTTTTTTTATCATGCAGGCTGTGTCAATCAGAGCCAGGGAGGGTGTGGTAAGTGCTTTATAAACAGAAACAAAGTGATTTAACACCTAAATGGTAGTGGATTTAGCAGTGAAACATGAGAGGCATGATCTACATACAAAAACTGCTTCATTAAGCTCAAGTTGTTTAGGTGACTATAGTGTTCCTTTAAAGGAACACTCCGAAAGTTAACAACATCATAAAAATGAAGTTGTCATGGTTCCAGAAGGTCTCCCTTGCTAGTTAAACCACTATAGGGGCTAAAACGTTCAGTCGCTGCTTGGTGGACACGCTTTATGAATGGGGAGTCACAGATTGGGTGAGAAACTTTCCTTTTTGAAGTCAGTTTTATGAATGGGAAGTCACTGAATGGCTGAGCGCGTCTGGCTCTTCAAGAGCCTTTTTTTTTTTAGTTCTTTATTTATTCCAAGACGGGACATCTGGTACACTGCATATAAATCAACATCAAGACAAGTATACATAAGCTTATCTTCAGTGCTTTTCAACTTTGTACATTATCCTCAGAAATACACATTCAAGCTCTTATATACAGCTGAATTTACATTTGCGATGTACTGTCTTATCTGACTTTTCCTTTATAGCGATGTACCTCTGCAAGTCTTTCAAGACAACCCGCTTGGTCTTTTATAATGAATAAAACATGTAACAACCGTATCGTTACTTGCATAGGAAGCAAGTAGGAGTGACATATACGTCAAGCTTGCCAGTGTATCTCCATCATCATCTTTCTATATACCTGTTGTGCAAGAGCCTTCTTCTTTAAAGATTTGGAGCACGCGTCAGGACAAAAAGGCAGGGAGAATCAGCATTCAAACACAGACTTTGGGTTTAAACCATTCGATAATGGCTTAACCCTTAAAGATGAGCCTGTACCAGGGACCTTCATGGCATAACAACTTAATTGAAATAAAGTTGTTATGGTGCCCAAACTGGTCCTTTAAATGTGAAGCAAACTAACCTACATTTGTGGTATCATTAGAAAAAGATATTATTGAGACTAACTGCTGCATGATTTTGAAGTGTTACAATTTTGTCAAAATACAAATATGTAGCTTAAATTCAGACTCATTAACCGGAGCTATCAGACTGCTCATTCTGTCTATTCTGTTTAATTGAATTTAGCATTTTTAGCACATTTATATAAATCTCTATGTTGATTTTTGACCACGCACTTGTCAATACTTCAATTCTAAATTCTGTCATCAGTAAAAATAGCAATAAAATGCAATAACATGGGTAAGCACAACATTCACATTTCCATCCAATAGTTTTAAAAAGTTTGTTTTGTGTTTTAAATTTCTGTAGAACTTTCCTTTTAGGTAAATAAAAAGTGTGAATTGATGCATTCCTAGATTTGAAAAAATATGAAAAGAACACTGTAATAGTGTATAAACAGAAATATGAATATGTGCCAAACATTACAGTGGTGATCATACTGAATAACAAAAGTGAAGTCATAGTTTAATCTGTATAGACCAACTGCAATATTATTTTGTTGTGATTATTTTTACTGGAAATAAAATTTAGAAACCTGGATGCCTTAAAAACAAAAAGAAAAATATCTTTCATATTTATAGAACCATCCCTACAGAGGTGCAAGTGGGTCCACTGGACTCAGGAGGCACCTGGAAGGGGGCAGGATTTTGTGACACTCACTATCTCATCGAGTTGCTGTGGGACCACCTGTATTCATTATCCCTATTGGTGGGAGAGCAGGATCATTATTTATAAAATAATTGGTAAGTTGAAAAGAGAATTGCAAAATTCCCTCTCACATAGTTGCACTGTGATCGAAGAGCAGGTTTCCAAATCAGCTATTCTGTTTTCTATTCACTATAATTCACTGTGTTGTCAAAATTTAATCCCCACTGACTAGATGCAATACATTTATCCTGAGGTGCTACATAACTTTTGGCAAATATGCGGGATGGCGCAGGAGAGGACTCAAAGCCATTTTGGGTGTGATGTCAGTTTCCAGAGAAAAGCTCCAGCGTACAGAGCTAGGCAGACAGGGGCACAAGTGGCATCTGTTTTGGGCCACTGTAAATTACAGGGCTTAAGGCAGTTGCCCCTTTTGCCTTTGTAGTAAAGATGGTTCTGCCTACACCAAGCAGTCTCCTGCCCCCACCCACACAGAACACCACAGATGGTCTACCCAACAAGCAACACTACAATTAGCCTCCTCACACACATACATCCACCAAAAGCATACAATGCCACAAGCAACCTACACACACACACACACACACACCACACTCTCCCATCGTTGTCCCTCATATGTCTTCTGGTACTCCTCTTATGGGGACACCAGAGACAAGTCTCCAGCAAACACATAACAAGCATGTAAATAAATTGTCTTTCACTGTGCTAAACAAACACATTTGGCATTTTCTCTATTCCAGAGCTTTTCTGCAGGGCTCTGTGCACGGGCTTCTCAGGAGGGGCATCAAGCAACACAACATGCTCTCTCTGGCTTTGACACTTCGTGTTAGGCAGCTCTTGTCAATGTCTCAGGCCAGCCCTGGTTGCAAAGCAGCTCGCAGTCTGCAACCTTGATTTACTGTGCTTGCTTACTCTCAGACCGGAAGGATCTTTTTAAGTGATCTTCACCAACCACAGGTGAAGATCGCAAGCTTCTCCCACTGGACTGCCAGGGTGCTGCATCTCAAGACCCCCACCGGGCCACCAGGGAGCCAGCTATGACTACCAGGCAATAAAGATCATAATGACCCAATTCAAAGGTACAAGAGGGCAAAAAATTGCACAATTGCAACAAATCTAATGTGCACTCTGCAACACACAATATTTCCAAACACATGCTGTACACCAGAAATAAAACCAGTACAAATGCAACTATTAATAATTACAATAAAAACATAGAAAAAATAAAAAAACTACCATCAAATAGCCGACAAGTAAAAAAAAAAAACAACAACATGTTTTAGCACACCCATATGCCTTTCTCAAAGGAAGCATGAGATAATCTGCAACACACAACACACTCCGCTACCCATACACATTACTCACATACCCACACACTGCCACAGACATGAGTCACAGCTACCCACACACAGTTACACATCATTCATAGCTACTTACACACATAGCTCATAGTCAGTGGCGTACTAAAGGGGGGCGGCGGTCCGCCCCGGGTGCCACTCACTAGGGGGGTGCCCGGGGCAGACTGCAATGCCCCTCCTGTGCTTATCGCTGAGACTGGCAGTCTGCAGCTCCGCAGTGTGCAGAGCTGCAGACCATGTGTCTCGCGAGCACTGCCCAATCAGAGCGTTGCCGCGGGTTACCATGGCAACGCTCTGATTGTGTCTCACGAGATCCATGGTCTGCAGCTCTGCGGAAGAGAGTGTTTACTTGTTTTTCTCATTTTGCAAAAATTGCAGATTTCAATTTATTTATTTTTTACACTTAAAGGGACACTATAGTCACCAGTGCAACTACATGTATTCCAACCCTATAGTGTTAACACGACCATCTAGCCCCCTTGGGCCCCTCATGCCTCCATAAATATAGTAAAAATCTTAATGTATTCAAGCCAGAAGCTGTAAATCTGCATGCTGAGACTCGGGAAAAACAAGCAGTCTGCTGACATGTGATAGCCTGATCCAATCCCAGTGCTTCCCCATAGGATTGGAAACTAACAAGGAGGCAGATCAGTGGCAGAGCCAGCATGATTCAAACACAGCCCTGGCCAATCAGCATCTCCTCATAGAGGTGAATTGAACAATTGAAAGGAAAGTTCAGTGTCTGCATGCAGTGGGAGGAGATACTGAATCACAGGATGTTCTTGCACAGCAGATCTGAGTGGATGGAGGCATATTATGCCTCCATCAACTCAGAAATCTCTCTGGTTTATGCTGAGTGACTGCAACTGGAGGTGTTCCTAGCTTTCAATGTAAACATTGTATTTTCTCAGAAAATACAGTGTTTACATGAGAAAGGCTGCAGGGAGCTATAGTTCTCACCTGAACAACCTCATTAAGCTGAAGTTGTTCAGGTGACTATAGTGTCCCTTTAACCCCTTAAGAACACATGACATGTGTGACATGTCATTATTCCCTTTTATTCCAGAAGTTTGGTACTTAAGTAGGTAAAACATAAATAACCTATAAATTAACACCCCCTTGGCTCTAAAGCAGACAATGGGTCTTGTTACTTCCTAGTTTGGTTAGCTCAATGGAGCTAAACCTCAAAAGGCAGCAATTGCTCAGAGCACCTGCCTTCCAAAGACTCCTCATTGAGCTGCTTTAGGGAGTCTGTGATTGGACAGCCGCAAAATGCCTGAGCAGGGTTAGAAGGGGAGGGCTTGCAAAAGCAGCAGACAAGAGAACCTCAGGATTTACAAGCTGTTTTTATATCTACCCCTAATTAAAACATGCAGAGGTAAATGCATGCAAGATTTCATTTGGAGTATATCTACTAAACAGTGATTTTTTTAATTTTATTTTTCTATTTGGGCAGTGGAGTGTCCCTATAAGCTACCATAGTTGTACACAATACACAGTCATTCCCAACAAACACTATTTACTGAAGTGAGAATTCAGCATTATTTTCAAATTTAATGCCAGAGTGGACAAATTCAAAGCATAGGTGACTTTGAGAATTTTTCAATTTCGACTATTTTTACCTTAAATCTGAAATTCACTTTGAATTCCCTTTGAAATCTCACTTTAGTGAATAATCCTGATAGATATTCATCAGGCATGGCACAAAATTGCCGTTTAATACACTGGATACAATGTCGCTATCGCTTGCCAAAGCCAACCGCAGGATTATTTATTTTTTTCAGAAAAGTTGTGGTTGCTATAGTGACAACTTACACAGGAAGTGTTTCTGTGCTTTACTCAGAGAGGTCGACAAACAGGACATAGTTGAAAACAAGACTTTGTTTAAAATGAGAGGAATCCCAACATATCCTAACTGGTAAAATATTTTCTAAATATAGAATTACATAAAATGAAGCAGTAAGGCAGGCTGGCAGTAAACAGTCTAATAAAGAATGGCAATTTCTGCACGCAGGTAATGCGTTACAATAGATTAACATCATGAGATTTATTAGGTCAAAGTCAATTTGTAGTGAATTGGAGACGAAATTACAAATGTTAAAATAGCTCATGCGGACAAATTATCCATTTTAGGTATAGTAATAGCTTGTTTTTTGTCTAAATGTTGCAATTCAGCGGCTAGTGAATATACCCCATAGTGAAGGCCCAGAATACCATGGTTGCTCTCCAGCTATGTGACATAATTGCACTGTACTCAAACTAGCTCATTGTATTGGATATAGATGTATGCAGGCCTCCTGGTGGAAGTCTTCATAATTTTAGGAATTTAAGCCAAGAGACAAATCTACCAATTGGGGAATCATAATTTATCTAGAAATTAGAACAGCACATAAATCATGGTTATTGGACCTTCACCTATAACACGTTATTAACCTTTTTTCCATGTGCTCTGTTTTTATTAGATGTTAAAGTTTTAGCAAATTACATCACAATCCACTTCGGTGCCGGCAGAGACTGGGCATGTGTCACATTAAAGACGGAGAAATAGAAACATTTTAGATTATATGCTCTGAAACACGAGTGAGGCGTTTTAATTTATTCTATTTAAGCATTGTGCACTTTACTGCACATTATGCACTTATCGCTTTGATATTTCCTTCACTTTTCTTTCCCTGTCCTGCAGGGAGAGAGGGTTTTGTCACTTACTTGATGTGCCTCAGCAATGGTCAGGCTCCTTCTTGGCCAACGTCAGCGAGGACCTAATGCGCATGCGTCCTCATCACATAAGGACTTGAATCTAAGCTTTTTTTATGGGGTTTTAGCTGACGCTGCGTTTCGTCATGTACAGCGTGAGGACGTCCAGCATCAAATGGCAGACCAAAAGACCCAGATGCAATAACTGCAATCATTACAACTGCAGAGTTAAAGGACCAGTATAGTGCCAGGAAAACATAATCGTTTTCCTGGCACTATAGTGCCATGAGGGTGCCCCCACCCTCAGGGTCCCCCTCCCGCCAGGCTCTGGGGAGAGGAAGGGGTTAAAATCTTACCTTTTTCCAGCACCGGGTGGGGAGCTGCGTGCGCATTCAGCCAATCTCATAGGAAAGCATTCATAAAGCTTTCCTATGGACGCTTGCATCTTCTCACTGTGATTTTCACAGTGAGAAGCATGAAAACGCCTCTAGCGGCTGTCAATGAGACAGCCACTAGATGCTTTAGAGGCTGGATTAACCTATTTATAAACATAGCAGTTTTCTCTGAAACTATGTTTAAAGCTATGTTTTAAAAAAAAAATGGGTTAACCTTAGCTGGACCAGGCACCCAGACCACTTCATTAAGCTGAGGTGGTCTGGGTGCCTAGAGTGGTCCTTTAAGGGAACACAGGCACTGAACCCAGACCACTTCAATGAGATAGTGCCTATAGTATCCCTTTTAAATTTTGATTATTACTACTATATCTATTTTAAACTAAGCAATGAATAATTAAGCTCGTCTATCAGGGTACTTCAATATATTGTATACATGAGTGATTTGATCTTGTGAACATTTGTTTTTTTATTATATTATTATTCTCCACCTCTAACTTGCTATATATGTTTTTTTAATCATTTAGCACTGACTAGGTATAGTACCCCCTATTGTCTATATGTAGATTTTTTTACTATTTATACCAGATGGGACAGAGTGGCCGGATCACAATAAAACATATTACCCACCTTTTAAAAGATTTCCCTTGGTGCTGTACATACATAAGGGGACATAAACAGTGTGAGAATCACTGGATACTAAATATTGGTTGAGATATATGTTTGTTGCTTTGATACTTATTTATATGCCATTTTGTGAATAGGGAGTCACTGATTGGCTGAGAGTATCAGCTGACCGCTCTAAGCCAATCACCGGCACCCCTGACCTGTGGCACGCCCCGTTTAAAAAAAAAAAATACTAAACTGGGATACTGCTGGGGGGACCTGAGGATAAGCGCTGGAGACAATTTTGGGGTTAAACCGTTCATGAATAGTTTAACCCCTTGAGATAAGAGTGCATCCGGGCTTCCTGGCACCATAAAAACTTAATGTAGATGAAGTTGGTCTGGTGCCTAAACTTTCCCTTTAAAGCAGCCTTCCTCAAACTCTGGCCCTCCAGTTGCTGAGCTACAACTCCCATGATTCTCAGCCTATCTATTTAATTCATAGAATCATGGGAGTTGTAGTTCATTAACATCTGGAGGGCTGGAGTTTGGGGAAGCCTGCTTTAAAGCATTGGAAAATAGTTTACCCCTTAGGGTGACAGTGTCCAAACATGCTTGCCCATAAAAACTTTAATGAGCTGAAGTTGTTATCTAATGGCAGTGTTCCTTTAAATACAAGCTGTTAGACAAATACTATTTGGGTGTAAACTCTGAATTTTATCTTTATAAACTATTGGCAAATGAGTCACAGAACTTAGCTTGGCTATTTTATACTCTGTTTTGCCGCAAGTCATCCGTCCTGAAGGGGGTTAAACCTTGTAAAGTTACACTCTGCCTCACTTCATGGTATACTGTTGCAAACAAAGTGTTTGCATTTCCATAGTGATAGTGGGAGGATCCGTGTGAATGTGGCTTTAGCTCTGGTTTACGTTGAATAAAGACGGTGTATAAAAGAGATTAATGTGCCTAAATAAGGCATAAATTGAATCACACTATAAAATGATTTACAGACAGATGGAGAATCGAACGGAACAGTGATATAACGTTACTTACACTGATCTAGAGACTCGTACAACACGAGCAAGATTTCATGTAAGTTCATAAACTTTAACTTTTCCTCTTCCTTTCTCTCTCTCTCTCTCTCTCTCTCGCTCTCTACTAGTAGTTTATTTATTAAAAGAACATTAAGTCATGTGCTTAAACTCTTCGTGACTAAGGTTTTAACAAGTGCTTGTGTCTTACTAACTGTACCACCATTTTTACATGTTTATTACACCATACGTTCATGTTTTCTCATTAGCTGCATCAATACCATTGGATATTGTTCAAACGATAAATAGGAATGGGCTTTCTTTCAATACCATATAATATAAAACACAAAAATATGAATACAATTATTAAAAATCAATTAAACAAATTAAACATTTTCACACATGTTTATAATAATTTGTACACTAGTGCAGCTTAAAACAACACCTAATAATATATTTGGAAATACTTCATGCCACCATCACTATTTTTCTCATTTTCGGTGTACAATTCATTTAGACTGAAATTCAATTTCTAAGTATATACTAACACACACATACAACATAGAACGGGACACAAATGTTGGAAGTTACAGGGCTAATTTAGAATTATGATCTTTTTAAATGCGTCTTTTCAAATTTCAAGTGCTTCTAATTTGTGTCCAATTGACATTCTTATCAAGAATGAGATAAGAGTGACTCTATCTTTATCGCCACACTGCCCCGCTTTACAAATCTGATGTAGTGTATTATGACACATGCCTCTGCAGAAAATAAAATCTTCCCAATACTGGAGACCGTATCTTCAGAAGGATATTGATACCTTAGAGAGGGTTCAGAGAAGGGCTACTAAACTGGTTCATGGATTGGGGGATAAAACTTACCAGAAAAGGTTAAAGGATCTTAGCATGTATAGTTTGGAGGAAAGACGAGATGGGGGGGATATGACAGAAACATTTAAATACATAAAGGAAATCAACACAGTAAAGGAGGAGACCACATTTAAAAGAAGAAAAACTACCACAACAAGAGGGCATAATTTAGAGGGGCAAAGGTTTAAAAAATAATATTAGGAAATATTACTTTACTGAGAGGGTAGTGGATGCATGGAATAGCCTTCCAGCTGAAGTGGTAGAGGTTAACACAGTAAAGGAGTTTAAGCATGCGTGGGATAGGCATAAGGCATAAGGCTATCCTAACTATAAGATAAGGCCAGGGACTAATGAAAGTATTTAGAAAATTGGGCAGACTAGATGGGCCGAATGGTTCTTATCTGCCGTCACATTCTATGTTTCTATGTTTCAATAAGCTCAGAAATGTAACATTGTAAATTAACTTGATATATGTTACCTTTTTCTTTGATCACCCCAATAAAATGGTGTAAATAACAGAAAAGACTAAACAAATAGATCTTAAATATCAATTTATCCCTTACCGTCATTAACAGTAGTAATGAGTAAACCTAACCCAAAACTATTCACTAAAGTTAGAAATCAAAGTGAATTCAAAGTTCATTTCAAAATTGAGGTCAAAATAATCAAACTGGGAAAGTTCTGTAACTCAACTATGCTTCCAGTTCGACTACTCTGGCCTTAAATATAAAATTCATGGTGAACTCTGACTTTAGTAAATAACCCTGTAAATTTTTACCCTGATTATAAATGTATCTAACTTCTAACCTTAAAGGGACACTCCAGGCACCCAGACCACATCTGCCCATTGGAGTGGCCTGGATTCCAACTCCCACCACCCTTAACCTGGCAAGTGTAATTATTGCAGTTTTTATAAATTGCAATAATTACCTCGCAGGGTTAAATCCTCCTCTAATGGCTGTCTATCAGACAGCCACTAGAAGAACTTCCGTGTTCTTAGAACACGAAAAGTGTTTTAAAACGACGCTGGACGTCCTCCAGCTGTTCATAAGGACCTCCAGCGTTGCTGGAATCCCTATAGGAAAGCATTGCGCATCAGGTCTCCCCTGCCGGCTGATGTCGGCGGGGGAGGAGCGTGGACGGAGCCTGACCCAGCACAAAGGGACATCGGTGCTGGATTCAGGTAAGTTGCTGAAGGGGTTTTAACCCCTTCAGCAACATGGGATGGGGGTGAGAGGGAGGGGGGCACTGCAGGGTCCTGCAGTGCCAGGAAAACATCTGTTTTCCTGGCACTGGAGAGTCCCTTTAACTCTAGAGCAGGATATTGGCAGATAGGTTGCTGTGAGAGTCAATTGCAGTGAATACAGGCCTTGGATACAGGCCTTGGCTGTTATTTGAAACATACAGTCTCTTTGATTGGCTCCCACAGTAATCACAGTGCCTGGGAACCAGTCTGTTTATAATACCTGAATTGCCTCAATGGGACCTTATAGGCACCCAGACCACTTCAGCTCATTGAAGTGGTCTGGGTGCATATTCCCAGGTCCTTTAACCCTGGAAAGGGGTTTTTAATTTATGGATTAACTCCTCCTCTTTTGGTCGCCAAACTGACGCTGGATTTCCTCACACTATGCATGAGGACACCCATGGTCACCCGAAACCCTATAGTAAAGCATTGTATAGTGCTTTCCTATGGGGCTGTTCTAATGCGAGTGCGGCCAGGAGCGAAGCGCGCGGGGGAGGAGCGAAGGCGGACCCTGAAGAAGCGCTAAGGGACATTGGCACTCGAACAAGGTAAGTGACAGAAGGTTTTTGTTTTTTTTATAGGGAGCACTATGGTGCCAGGATGGCACTGTTATTTCCCTTTAATTATGAGGCATCCAGTAGCTCAGGAGATACCAATCCCATCAGACACCTGGGAACAGGGCCGCTACCTGTAAGGCGACATAGGCAGCCGCCTAGGGCGCACCTTAGCAGGGGGGGCCGGATCCCTGCACCAGGAATCACGGTGCGGCTCCTCATGCTGCGCCACCTGAGCGCTTTAGCAAGGCTCAGGCGGCGCAGCACTGCTTTATGGAGGGCGGACGGATTTGAGTGACCGGCAGGAGAGAAGCGCAGAGCCCTCCCTTCTGCCAGTCTCTCAATGTAGCGTGGCCGGGCGGCGCAGAACGCGGTACAGGAACCTCTGTTTCCTGTACCCGGCCCCCGGCGGACTGACAGGAAGTGCCACGCTACATAGACAGGAGGGAAGAGGATGGTAAGGACCACCAGAGAAGACGAGGGTAAGGACCACCAGCGGTGTGGAGGACCACCAGGGGGAGGGGGATATGGACCACAAGGGGAGGGGAGAGGGGGTAAGGACCACCAGAGGAGGGAAGAGGACCACCGGAGGGAGGGGGGGGATGGACCACCAGGGGAAGGTAAAGGACCACCAGGGAGGGAGGTACCAGGCCACCACAGGGGGGGGGGGGGACCACAGGGGGTGGGGGTGTTAAGGACCACAGGGGGGGTAAGGACCACTGGGGAGGAGAGGGAGGGGAGTAAGGACCACTGGGGGAGGGGGGAGTAAGGACCACAGGGGAAGGGTGTAAGGACCACTGGGGAGGAGAGGGATGGGGGAGTAAGGACCACTGGGGAGGAGGAGGGGAAGTACCACTTGGGAGGAAGGGGGGAGTAAGGACCACTGGGGGAGGAAGGGGGAGGAAGGACCACTGGGGAAGGGGGGTGAAGGAACACAGGGGGAGGGGGGGATGGGGAGTAAGGACCACTGAGGGAGTGGAGGTAAGGACCACTGAGGGAGGAGGGGGGAGGTCCACTAAGGGGTTTGGGAGAGGGAGGACCACTAAGGGGGGAAAGGACCACCAAAGGGGGGTAAGTAGGGAGGACCACTAAGGCGAGGGGAGGAGGGTAAGGACCACTAAGGGGGGGGGAGAAAGAGGATAATGACCACTGAGGGGGGGAGATTACCACTAAGGGGGTGGGGGAGGAGGGGAATGTCTACTAAGGGGTTTGGGAGAGGGAGGACCACTAAGGGGGAGAGGGGGGAGTGAGAAGACCACCAAGGGGGGATTACAGAGTGCTAAGGGACAGAAGGGAAGAAAACGGAGGGACAGGAGGGAAGGGGAAATCAATAATTGACAGGAGGGGAGAGCACTATGAAAAAAATAAAAAATAAAGAGCTGCTTCCCTCTCTGGCCCTATCCTACCCCACAAACCGTCTCTTCTACACTACACACATACACAATGCATCCACACACACACACACACACACACACACACAGAAACATACAATGCATTCCTACTCACACACAGACACACCCGAAACACACAATGTTTCCCTTACATTCACACAAACACTCATTCTCTTACACACAGAAACAAAATGCATCTCTTACACAATCAATGCACCCCTTACAGACACACACTGCATTCAATTACATACACAGAAACACACCTTGCACTACTTACACACACACACACCCAGAAACATACAATGCATTCCTTACACGCAAACACACACTGCATCCCCTATAAACACACTACATCCCTTACAGAAATTGGTATCCCTATACACTACATTCTAGAACACACACACACATTGCATCCTCTACAATAACACATAAAACATTCCCTACACACATACACTCCACTTCCTGTGAGAGAACTCATGGGTGGGCCATGTAGCTGGATTTATGGGTGGGCAATGTAGGAATACTCACGGTCAAGCCCTGAGGGCCCAGACCTTGAGCTGTGTAAGGGGCCCTAAAAAATGGAGCTGCTTCCTGTTCGTTAATTGCTGTGAGCACTATTAAAAACAGTCTCCAGAGAGCCTCTTCTACACCAGACCTGTGGAGCCAGACTGAGCCGATCATCAGTCTCTTGTCCTCATCTGGTGGTAAGTAGGCAATCCAATATATTATTAGTGGCACTAATCTCTAATTTACCTCACATTAAATGGATACTATAGTCACCAGAAGCACTACAGCTTAATGTAGTGGTTTTGGTGTCTATAGCCTGTGCCTGTAGGCTTTTTAATGTAAACACTGTCTTTTCAGATAAAAGACACTTTGTGAAGACTGGCATTGGCCCATATGGCAGAGCATATGGGCGGGGCATTGTAATGTTACATGGTGGGCAGGACAGATGGGGGGTGGGGGTGGCGGCAAATTTTTTTTTGCCTAGGGCGGCAAAAATCCTTGCACCGGCCCTGCCTGGGAAGAAATCAAACCGTTCTAAAACAGGTGGAATACTTACAATGGGGAAAAGTAGGCACTCGTGGCATTATAAAGACTACAGGTACTGTAGTGGTTATGGTGCTTGGAGTGTCCCTTGATAACAACTGCTTATTGTAGGGCGTTAGACAGCTTATGTATCAAAATTTTTATAAAGGTTGTCTGATATTACAGAAGTTGGGTCGGACAGAGGGATTTTTTTTTTTTTTTTAAATCAAGTGGTGTGCAAAAACTGTTTCATAATATTTGCACACTACTAGGAATATCTTCTGTCTGAGAAATGGATTGAAATCTGATTTAATAATTGTGATATTTCCCCGTATTAACTCCTACTCATGTCACTGCCATAGACACCAACACATGCTTGCTGCCACACTATCCAATGTTGCAACTTTTCTAACAAACAAAATCCCATGAGGCTGGTCCAGTGCCCCCGAAACTTGGTGTTCATCTCAAAGCTGGAATGTCTTGTACAAAGTACTTACACTCTCCATTGAATAAGTCAGTTAAAATTAACTAGGAGTTACTCCAATATGAAAAATTCTCAAAAATGATGTTCTCAGTATATGCATTACATTAAAGGGACATTATAGTCACCAGAACAACTACAGCTTAAAGGACCACTATAGTGCCAGGAAAACATACTCGTTTTCCTGGCACTATAGTGCCCTGAGGGTGCCCCCACCCTCAGGGTCCCCCTCCCGCCCGGCTCTGGGAAGAGGAAAGGGGTAAAACTTACCTTTTTTCCAGCGCCGGGCGGGGAGCTGTCCTCCTCCTCTCCGCCTCCGATCCTCCCATTCAGCTGAATGCGCAGCTGTGCGCGCATTCAGTCAGTCTCATAGGAAAGCATTCATAATGCTTTCCTATGGACGCTTGCGTCTTCTCACTGTGATTTTCACAGTGAGAATCATGCAAGCGCCTCTAGCAGCTGTCAATGAGACAGCCACTAGAGGATTTGGAGGATGGATTAACCCATTTATAAACATAGCAGTTTCTCTGAAACTGCTATGTTTATAAAAAAAAAAATGGGTTAATCCTAGAGGGACCTGGTACCCAGACCACCACATTAAGCTGAAGTGGACTGGGTGCCTAGAGTGGTCCTTTAACGTAGTTATTCTGGTGAGTATAATACTTCCCTTCAGGCTTTTTTCATGCAAACACTTGATGAAAAGGCAGTGTTTACATTGCTTCTAGGGACATCTCCAAGTGACCACTCCTTACATGGCCAATGGAGGTGCTTCCTGGGTCAGTGCTGCCAAAAAAGCAGCCCTGACGTTCATCGTATCCACGCTTTGCATGGAGACCCTGAATTTTCCGGCAGACCCGCGGAGAATATGCAGGTTGTCATGCGCTGTGTAGCATATGTGAAACGATCGTTATTTTTTGTGTGTGTTATGCAACGCACAGACTTCATTTTTGCCTTCTAGTCACATTTTAAGGAATGTGCATTCCCAGAAATGCAATCAAACAAGTAGCTGTTTTATCCTATGTTTATGTACTAATATATCCTACATTTTACAAAATATTATGCTACAAATGTGGTAGGGAATGTTCATGAATTTAATTTGCAATAATATGGTCTTTGAGTAACTACAAATACAATGAGTGCAGCTGTTTTTCTTATTTTAATATTATCAATACAGTATATGTTAGATCTATTACAATTAAAACCCAAATGAGGATCTTCACTAATAATGTAATTGTAATTAATTCATATTGAAATGCACCATTTAGGCCAAAATAACCGAGATTGAAAACTTGGCTGTTTTATACTGAATTTTGAAATTCATTTTTCAATTCATAGCAAATAGCTGTTTATTTATTAAACATGAGTATATTGCGGTTTAGATTTTTTTGTTGTTTTGTTTTTATTTTATTTTTACTTGTTTTTGTGTTTTTTTTTTTTTCTAAATATTTTTGTGATCTGGATAGGGGCCATTTCAACAGTTAAACTTTCTTTACCCATGAGTGGTTGTATTAGAAGATTAATTTCCAGTGCCATTTAATAAAAGATCGCTTGAAAGAAGTTTAGACATTTAATACGCTAGTGAGTGGCTGTTATCTGTTTGTTACCTACTGTAGTTTCCTGGTAACTATATTATATCATTGCTGTAATCTTATACTTTGTTACCTTGTTTACCATGCAATAGTCCTGGGCATCAAGCAGAAAGAATAGTCTTATGATTCAATAAATATACAAACACGGTGAATGAGAATCTAACACCGAGTCTGTAATGGTTGTGGGGTAATTAGGACATTACCCAACATAGAAATTAATAAGAACATTAGTACAGACTAGTAAGAAACAATACCAATCCTTTTACCCTTATGCAACTACTAGTCCAACATTGGAATGAGAAACCCTTAAAAATGTATAGTTCACAACTTTATTAAGTCGCTATAGTGATGATACAAAAACACACACACACAAACAGTGCCAGAAAAATGTGATAAAGTGAAAAAATAAATAAAATTGGACAAGCATATGGATCCTATATAGATCGTCAGAATGATCTCCCAGCTTGGAAATAGACTAGAAAGCAGGTGAACGTAACCTGATACTATGCTGCAAAATTGCATACAAATTGAAAGCACCCAGCTATGTCTTATGAGCTGCTGGGGGCTCGAAAGGTCTGATATAGTATCTAATATAAAACAATAAATATAGATAAAGAATAGCAGACTGATCGTAAGTCAGTGTAATGGATCATAGGCAGAAATTGTAAAGACGGCTCTGTATGGTGTTAACCAGTGACTCTGTCTTATTAATCAGCTTTACTAATTGTTAAGAAACTATAGAAAGAAAAGGAAATTGGAAAATATGGGATAATCCAAAGCAGTAAACCCCAGGCTGAGAAACTATAACAGCCGGGAAACCAACAATTGAATATAAAATTGCCCCTAGTATAATATCCTTTATGGTCAAGTGCTGAGAGCCAATTTAATAATATATAGATGATAGACAAGCATGCAGACCTAAATTGGTCCGCTCATAAGTAAAGGAACAAGTAGTCCCTATACCCTGAAGATACAGAGATTAGCCAATAGTATAGAAAAGAGAGCTAAAACAAAATTCTGTAAATAACTGCTTCAGGGTAACCCCTCATAAACTAGATATGGCCAGTGTGAAATAAGCTAGACACTGCTGCTTCAAGGCAGCCTATCACCTTACTAAAATAGCCAATACTAACTCATCTACTACTGCCTATAAATAGAAACTGCCTATTTGCCCAGGGAGATCGTTAAGATTTATAGTAATAGCAAGTTGCTAAGGCATGCAAAAGCTGTCCAAGTATTAAAAATGACCAGTGGAGCATCTGCACGATGCACGTTTCGGCCCTTATATATATATGTATATATTCCCAGCTCTTTGTCTCTTTGTGCTGTTCCAGATTGATGTTTCATTCCATTCCAATATTTTGAACCCACTCACCTTTGAAGAGGGATTTGAAATACTTCGCACTCTTCATCCTTCCATCCCACGACAACATTTGTAGGTCACAATTTATGACTTCATAAAAGGAAAGTTGTGTGCACTGTAGGAGTGCCTAGTTGCCACTTATGTAAGTAGTCAAACCGTTTGCTTTCCTGGGGTCTGGTGGGTGACCCACGCTGCCTCTCTCCAACTGGAAGCTCTCTTCTTGCAGGGCTTGCCTCATTAGCTGAGAGTGATCAGCTGACATTCTTAGCTGATTGCCCAGGTAAGAAGTAAAAATGTTAGCAAACAGCTTGACTTCTTACATTGGGGAGCACCAGGACACTCCTGGTACCATAATCATTCCTAATTAAAAATTAAATAAGGTAGGCACACTCAATATGAAATATATGCAAGCTCCCAAGTGGAGCTCTATGAAAATACGATATGGGGTGCTCACTCACATAAGGCTTTATCCCCAAAAGCCCAAATACATATAAGAGATGCTCTTTGATAAAGGCATTTTTGCCAAAACGTTGGGGGTGTTTTGGTGACTGACTCTGTCCCTGCTTCTCACTAGGTCTAGTATGTTTATTGCTATATATTTTTGTATATTTATATCTGCGTTTGTGGGGTTGGATTAGATTGGTATTTTATTTCTCTATTTTTGTCTATTGAGACTCTGTTATTCATATAAGATGCTTTTGGCGTTTATACATATATATTCAGAATTTTTCTGATCATTGCTGTATAGCGTGACATGATCCTATATTTTGGATCTTTATGTTATGTGATATTCTTATAGAGTATACCCACTTAATAAAGATTGTTTTATTATTATTGATGGTTGTGCTCCTTACTCTATTAATAACCATAATCATTCCTAACAGCAGGTGGCAATGTGGCATGTCCTCTTTCTGCTGCACTATAGATTTCTCTCTGACTCGGACTACAGATCAGGAGCAAGCTTCTGCCTACTAGTAAGAAAGGGAGTACAGGACTGGACAAGTGATTACTGAGAAGAGAAGAATTCAGAGTTTGTGATAAGTGAGAGAGAGAGGGGTTGAGAGCTGTATGATGGATACCTGATACATACGGATAGACTGGGTTGAGAAATGGAGGACAGGGTTAACATACAGTGAGGGAAAAAAGTATTTGATCCCCTGCTGATTTTGACCGTTTGTCCACTGACAAAGAAATGATCAGTCTATAATTTTAATGGTAGGTGTATTTTAACAGTGAGAGACAGACTTGCAAAAAAAAAAAAACTCCAGAAATACGCATGTCAAAAAAGTTATAAATTGATTTGCATGTCAATGAGTGAAGTAAGTGTTTGATCCCCTATCAATTAGCAAGATTTCTGGCTCCCAGGTGTCTTTTATACAAGTAACGAACTGAGATAAGGAGCACTCTCTTAAAGGGAGTGCTCCTAATCTCAGCTCATTACCTGTATAAAAGACATCTGTCCCCAGAAGCAATCAATCAGATTCCAAACTCTCCACCATGGCCAAAACCAAAGAGCTGTCCAAGGATGTCAGGGACAAGATTGTAGACCTACACAAGGCTGGAATGGGCTACAAGACCATCGTCAAGCAGCTTAGAGAGAAGGTGACAACAGTTGGTGCTATTATTCAGAAATGGGAGAAACACAAAATAACTGTTAGTCTCCCTCAGTCTGGTGCTCCATGCAAGATCTCACCTTGTGGAGTTTCAATGATCATGAGAACGGTGAGGAATCAGCCCAGAGGCATCCAACAATAGCTCAGGAGATACCAATCCCATCAGACACCTGGGAAGAAGTCAAACCATTCTAAAACAGAGGAATCAGCCCAGAACTACGCGGGAGGATCTTGTTAATGATCTCAAGGAAGGTGGGACCATAGCCACCAAGACAACAATTGGTAACACACTATACCATGAAGGAGTGAAATTCTACAGCGCCTGCAAGTCCCCCTGCTCAAGACAGCAGATGTAGATGTACAGGCCCGTCTGACGTTTACCAATGAACATCTGAATGATTCAGAGGAGAACTGGGTGAAAATGTTGTGGTCAGATGAGACCAAAATAGAGCTCTTTGGCATCAACTCATCTCACTGTGTTTGAAGGAGGAGGAATGCTGCCTATGACCCAAAGAACACCATCCCCACTGTCAAACATGGAGTTGGAAACATTATGCTTTGGGGGTGTTTTTCTGCTAATGGAACAGGACAACTGCACTGCATCAAAGGGACAATGGACAGGGCCATGTACCGTCTGATCTTTAGTGAGAACCTCCTTCCCTCAGCCAGGGCATTGAAAATGGGTCAGGATGGGTATTCCAGCATGACAATGATCGAAAACACACAGCCAAGGCAACAAAGGAGTGACTCAAGAAGAAGCACATTAAGGTCCTGGAGTGGCCTAGCCAGTCTCCAGACCTTAATCCAATAGAAGAGGGAGCTGAAGGTTTGAGTTGCCAAACATCAGCCTCAAAACCTTAATTGTTTGGAGAGGATCTGCAAAGAGGAGTGGGACAAAATCCCTCCTGAGATGTGTGCAAACCTGGTGGCCAACTACAAGAAACGTCAGACCTCTGTGATTGCCAACAAGGGTTTTGCCAAGTACTAAGTCGAAAGGGGTCAAACACTTATTTCACTCATTGACATGCAAATCAATTTATAACTTTTTTGACATGCGTTTTTCTTGGGTTTTTTTGTTTTTGTTATTCTGTCTCTCACTGTTAAAAACACCTACCATTAAAATTATAGACTGATCATATCTTTGTCAGTGGGCAAACATTCAAAGTAAGCAGGGGATCAAATACTTTTTTTCCCTCACTGTAGGTTATGTGTATGCTTAAAAATCCAACCTGCACGAGTTTCAGCTGTTATAAAAGAAAGGTAATTATTACAAATGTAGCAGAACATTGTTGTTAATTAAGAGAAATATAAATAAAATGAACAGATAATAAGAAAGTATAAAATGTGGAGAGAAGCCATGAATCGAAAGTATAGTACACATGGACATGGGTATTTACAGAGAGAAAGTGCACAAATACAAACTGACTGTGTGTGCTGTGTACTCAAAATAGTGTTATTTGGGCAAGGAAATACATATTTAGTTGGCAACCAAAAGGCTGTCAACTTGCATGTGTGCCAGGCAAACATCTTATATGGCAGTAACGCTTCCTAAACCACAAGTTCTCAATCTGTGGTATTCGTGCCCCAGTGGGTACATGCACCACAGGTAAACGGGTATGCCTGGAGCCCAAATGTGCTGTGTCCAGAGGGGGGTGGCTGTAGCAAGGAAACGAAGAAGGGCTGATGTCTGTGGTGCTCTTCCTGTACTGTTCCCTTGTGCCCTGAGGTGATGCCAAAGGTATGACCTCACTCCAGCAATGACATCACCAAGCAGCAGGCAAAGAAGTAGTGCTGGAAGAGCACGAAGATTACACAAGCCCCACACCGGACCCCAGGGAAAGGATCCCTACTGATCCCAATGGAATGGATCCACTCCAGCTCTCCCAAAGATAAAATAATAATTTTAAAAAATGTTATTAATAAAAAAGTATAATTTATTAGTGTGTGTGTGTTTATCAGTGAATATGTGTGTGTCTGTCAATGTGTGTCAAATCAGTGAGAGTGTTTGTCAGTGTGTGTCAAATCACTGAGAATGTGTGTCTGTCAATGTGTGTCAAATCAGTGAGAGCGTGTGTCAAGTCAGTGAGTGTGTTTGTCAAATTCACGTCATATTTATTTTTTAAATATTATTTACTACCTCTAATCAGGATTGTTCTCCAATATGGGGTTAATTTAAATATCCGTGCCATATGCATGATTTGGAATTTAAATCAATAGAAACTACTTTCTCGAGGCAGAGGTACTTAAAATATTTTTTTAGACCTGTAGGGTTATTCTTTGTAAAAGGTTGAGACACACTTCCCTAAATGACTCTGGCATGCTTTCACAAATGCAAGGTGCGTCACACACCCTCTATAATGGTCATCCCTTAATATAAGGATTATCAGGACCACACACTGGGAGGTATGGGAATTTTTCTGATGTCCCTGAGAAGCATGATACCATTGATGTACCAAAACCCACCAGATCCAGGACTCGTATGAGGTGTGGCTGTTTTTGCACTTTTAGCCTAAAGAGTTTGCAATTTGGCTCCTCATCATTGTCCACACCAGGACCATTAGGCTTTTCATCCACCATGCATACAATGGACTCCTTCAAAGAAACCCCAGACATTACCCAGTATGGGGACACACACTCAGGCAGTCTTTTGACCGCTTTCAATGGACACTCTAAATCCTGAGCTTAATGAAGTGGTTTTGGTGTATAGATCATGCCCCCTGCACTTCCACTGTTCAATTCTCTCTATTTTGTGTATTTCACAAAATACGGCTGATGGCCGCGGATAGTAGGAAGACTGAGAAGGAAGATACAGAGCCACCCTGGGCAATCACTTCTAGACCAACAGCTTCCATAGGTGACTGAATGGTTGTTTGTGGAGTTCTTTGCATGCCTTGCTGAATATCATGAGAATTTATTGCACTTTATATTTATTATGATTTTTTTTTGTTTTTTTTAAATTCTTTATTTTTGTTGTGCATTTGCTTAACATAGTCGCCTGAGATGCCACAACAGTTTTCCCAGGCTTCAATACATAAAACATAAATAAACATTTGCATTAGGATACAGTGCACATTTTTGGGGTTAGGTTCATACGTTACAACATTCTGCCTGAAGCTATCGCTAGATCGCCACATTCTCCTGTCTAGAGGAAGTAGTTGTATGTGTTCAATATGCTCTTTACGCCTAGAGTATGACTTGGGTTCTTAGTAACCATTCCTCGTCCTGTGTAAGTGGTACTTGGTGTTGGCTGTGGCGATAATGAAAGTTGCCACACTTCTTGTCATTGTGGCAATGTCTAGGGCCCAATGTCCTATCGTGTTTGGTTTGGGCGTAGGTATCTCTGTACCTAGGTTGCCCTATGTGCTTCGTTGATGCTCATGTGGTGTGCGTGTGGTCAGTAGCCCCTAACCAAGGAGGCTGCAGGGGGGCGGAAAGAACGCGGTGGCAGCCCTGTTTCTGGCCCTATCGTGGGAATGTTTTGCTATGTAGCGTGTTAACCGTTAGTGGTTGTGTTGGTGCGTGGGTCTTACAGAGGTACCTAGTTTTTGCTAGGCTAGTTGAAGAGTAATAAATGTTAAATACAAGTTAAAACCAAACTAAAACAAATTAAAACAGCAATGGCGCCAGTAGTGAGTTTTGCCTGTTGGTATCAAGGCAGTCATTGTGTCAGGTGGCTGCCACAGGGGCTCCTCTTCCCCTTGGTACACAAGGGACTGTCCTGGTGGGGTCCCATGTATGGGAGCTGGCGGGCTCATCCGTGTGGTCAGGTCCTTGTGGGAGCCCCAGTGCCCGAGGAAGGAGTCCACCTCCTGAGTGGAGTTGAGGTGTAACGTGGCGCCATTATGGTCCACCGACAGTGTTTTTGGTGCTGTCCAGTGGTAAGTCATCTTGGCGTCTTGGAGGCGATGGGTCATAGGGCGCAGGGGATCTTGTCAGGGCCTGATGTGAGACTCGCGGATTCAAAGTCCAGTGGTGTTTTGCCTTTTAAGGCTGCAAAGATTGCATTTCTGTCTGTTTGGGTATGGCACCGGACGATCACGTCCTTGGTTGCTTGGGGGGGTGCCTGCGGTGATTTGCGGATACGGAATATCCCTGCAATAGCTTGCTTTTTGGCCTGTGCATGTGGCAATATGGTGGCGACCAAGCGTCTGACATAGTGTGGAAGCTCTGCCTGGCTTATTTCCTCAGGGATGCCCCTAATTTTCACATTGCTTTTGCGGCTTCTCTCCTCTACTGCATCCAGCTTATTGATCAGGATTGCGTGTGAGGTTTTTAAATGGGACACTGTTTCTTTAAGGCTTCTCACTTCTTTTTGGACGTCTATGGTGTCCTCTTCTGTGGTCTTCACTCGGTCTGTGACCGCTTGGACCTCTGTTTTCATTAAGGCCATATCTGCTGCGGACATTTGCCTTAGTTCCAGTAGGAGGTTCTTAATGTCTAGTTTTGTGGCTGGTGTCAGCGCATCAGGGTCAGCCTGTGTGCCCTGGGGTGGCAGTTGGTCTAGGGTGTCCCCTATGGCGAGCTCCGAATACGTGGAGCTGGTGTCTGGGTCGGGTGTGGCCGCCATTTTCGGGACCACGGTGTGTTGGAGCATGGTGCTAATGTCTTGTGTATCTTTGCACACACCTGTTGCTATCCGCTGGGATTTTCGTCCCATGGTTGCCGGGTCGGTGGTTGTGTTCTCCGTGGGCGGTAAGGGTGTGGAGAAGACCGCGTTGTGGAGCGCCGTTTCAAAGCCCCTGTAGTACTACGTCCTGTCTGGCCGTATATGAAGGGCATTGGTTGGTGGAAGGCTGTGCCCCCTTGTTCTAGCTGTCGTTTTTTTGGTCTGAGGGCTGTAATGGCAGGTTTTATCGACGATTTATCTCGCTTTTGCCTGAGCTTGCGGCGCTTGCGACCGCTCCGTTCAGTGGCTTAGCTCCGCCCCAATATTATGATGGTTTTAACATCTATCTACATCTAATGATGAAAATCAGTAATGATGGCAGGAGGACATAGGAATTAGTTTTGCATAGGTGCCTGGAGGCCTTAGGCCAAACCTGGAAGCAACAAACCAAAAGCAAGTACGGTGGTTGCTTGGCAGGGGGTGAGATTTTAAGGCATTTTTACATCTCATTACGTCTTGGACATTTTATAGTGAAAGACACTGGAGCTTCAGCTCCATTACCTCTTGCTAATGTGGTTCTGATCGCAAATAAATGATATGCAAAAACTTTTTATGAAAAATAACTTGTTAATGGAGGGGTTAAATTAGATGAAAGTGGTTACTGGAGTGAGGAATTTCAGGAATTTACTTGAATATAAGATGATAAAAATGGGTAGGACTGGCCTGTAGTGAAATGATTGTTTGTTAAAACAAATAAATCTTGAATACGCCATAAATACAAACATGTATCATTGTACTGACTCCAAGCAAAACTAAAGGACACAATACATAGTTAAAGCCACACGACAAACAAATACCTGTGGTTTTTAAGCATGCCTCTCCATACAAATAAGGGAGTTTTACCACATGTCCAGACTTGGCTACACGTTCCCAATAATTTAATTATTGCATCACATAGAACTTGTGAAATGATTTAGCTCTTGGTCAATATTTTTCAAGTTCCCTGGACTATTCACAATGTCTATGACACTGAACTCACAAGCCCAAAAGTCAAAAGACAAGATAAGGAATAACCTGAACATTTAAAGTATACAATTGTAAGTTATTGGAGATATGTTCAAAAACAAGTCTGAGATTACAGATTAGATGGCAAATACACCAGATTTAGTCTGTAGATGTATTAGGGTAAATTATGCATACAAAAATAAGATTAGACTAATGTCAAAAATGTTTGCATTTGCAGGCATTTTAAAGAACAGTGGTATAGGCCTGCATGTTATTGACCAGGTTTCAAACACATTTTGTGATGATCCTTTTATATATGTGAGTAAATCAATGGTAAGGATAATGAATAGCCTTTAGTAATGTTACACTGTAAGTAAAGGTGTGTAGTATAGAGTCTGAGATCATAGAGCAGATATACACTAGCCATTTAATGAGTCCAGTAGTGATATTGCCTGCGTCCATTGTGTAATCAATAATAATGGAAGATAAGCTAAAAAAAATAGGACAGATGTTTCTTCATTCTCAAACACTCTTGACACCATTAAAGCAGCACTGTCACCCCTCTCCCCTTCAAAATGAGTTTTATAAAGATAAAATCTTTATGAAATACTCATACTAACTGTGTTGGAATTTCACTGACTTTGTCTCTGTGTTTTTCCTACACCTGACACTTCTATACACTGGGCGGAACCAGAAGTGTCTAGAAGTGCCTATCTGCCAGCCGTCATCAGTGACGACTGTAGAGATATTAGCTGTAGCTTTGGAGGATCTTGCGGTCTTTCGGGGTCCTCCACAGACCTCAATGCTGTATCATTTATACTGTCCATTGCAGATCACTGACTCCAAGAGTAATTTAATACCTTTTAAATTATTCAATCAAAGTTTTACCGGTTGAATTGCTAGTTCAAAACACAACCTGAGCTACAGAACACCCACTAGCTTTTTATACAGTCTCAAAATTTAAAAAAAAGACTAGACAGAAGAGCTTTCGTTCCAAAGGCTACACAAATAACCAAGGGCCACCATTACAATGACATTTGATATTATGATTGCAACACATTGCTGGAGGATTGTTGATGGCAAATACTGTAAAGAAATGTAAAGATCTTTTTAGTGTGTTTGAGAAAACGACAGAATTTCCCCTGTTTTGTCCCTTTTTTTTAAAGCTTTTTCAAATATTTAGAAGACTTGCTTTGGTGGAAAATCTTCTTCCATATTAACAATATAACATTCACTCTTAAAAATTTTCCTCTGTTAAACTCTTTTAAAACCACAGCTATTCAGACATTTTAGCATTTCAATGTCATCTTCTCTGAGAATTTGATCTTACCTCTTTTATATTGTAAAAACGGCCCAATATAATTGTATTGTATGGCTTTGTTCGCTTGCATACATGTCATTGGACCTTGTCTCAACGATCAAGGTGAATGTGTCACCTCAGTTATCAAACTTCTCAATCCTCATCATTATTTTTTCCCAGTGATAAAGACAGGGACTATAATAAGACATGAAACCATTTATTCTGTTCATTGAACACAATTCGCACAGTTAAATTATTCAAGCCATGTGGAAATAGATCTGTAACTCCAGACAAAATCTAAATACGTGTTTTTTTTGTCTAAAATGGATGAAGAGCGATATACATGGGATCAAAAAGAAAAACACAGACAAGTATGTCCAACTCTGATAAAAGTTTAATCATGATGTGACGGTGTGGGCTTACCGCAAACTCAGAAAGGTAACACTTGGTTGCTGGTCTTGTCATTGATGGGGATGTTACACCAGCCTCGTACATACGCTATAAAAGAAAAAACAATGTTTTATGCTTTACTTTTCTCTACTCTGCTTTAGGCGGACAATATATATTCTGACGGACATCAGAGTTTGCAACAGATGGAGCTAGAGGAGATTGAGAGCAAAATATCTGATCTTGATAAATGGCGAGCAATATTTAGCTCCCAGGGGTAAGAATATAACTTTAATTTGCTAATGATTTGCGGCTTAATGATTCTATAATTTCTTGTTTACTTGATCTAAAGCTGTTCTATTTGTTAAACACTGAAAACAAAAGCTTTTTTTCCCGCCTAACCATTATTTTTATCCTTTGCAGGCTGGAAGTCAAGAAAACGCCTGCTGAGGTAATAAGTGTGATCACAAATAATGATCTAGCATATTTGCACATAGCATATTTGTTTGTCTGTTAATGAGAGAACTTGCCATTTGAAAGAGAACATTTTAAGGAGGTGGAAAAAAGAGCAACTTTTCATAGGTATATACTACTGACAAAATGTCTGTGTACAATGAACATGCAAAGCAATAGTGTAAAGTAAACCTCAATAACTGTTTATATTTGGTAAAGGAAAATATATTGCAACATAAAGGCTAATGCATAAAAACAGAACATAGAACATGTACGTCTAACACATATAAATCCCTTTACCTATAATCTGTGCTTGGTTTGTGAGTCAGTAGGAATAATTATAATCTAACATTAAAAAACATAGCAGTTTGGCCGTCTAACCTAAGAAGGTTACAAAATACATAGAAACACAGAGCCAAAGTACGTTGTTTAACTCAGTGGGACATCACTAAGCCATAGTATGTCATTAACCCTGGCAATTTAGGGCCCCATAGAGAAATTCCCAACAGGGCAGCACAAAACTAGGATATACCACTGGTGGGGGGTGCAAAAACCAAAAAGGGCCAGGCATTGTATATCACAAGGAATACAGATCTGTTTTGGTATCCCTCTAAAAAAAATTGGTCTTTTTTACATGCTATATTTTTGCATGCTGAAATCTTTATAGTTTTTGTACAAAAATAATTGTTTTGCAGAATGCGCCATACGCCTGCCTCCCTAGCCATGCCCACTAATGCCAGAAAGACTTCCTTATCAAATGAGCTGTTTGCACTTTGTGAAAAGGAGTCAATTTATTTTAGCTTCCTTATGGCACAATGTGCATTATTTAAAATTTCTTATCTCCTGCTCTGTTAGTAGCCTGCATAAGCCTCCTGTGTGTGATTACAATTCTATTAAAAGCTCGGGAAATAAGAACTTCTAGAGTAAACACATTGTGCTGCAAAATCTGTGGATGTTAGTGGAGGTTTGGCCAGGACTGCATAAACAGAAACAAAAGTGATGTAACTTCTAAATGGCAGGCAGTTGAGCAGTGCCGCTGCACGGGCATGTTCTATACACAAAAACCGCTTGATTGAACTAAAGTTGCTTTGAAACTTAGTGTCTTTTTAATGAGGCTACACAAATTCATGGTTCTGGGGCCCCTGTCTAACTCTTGGGCCCTAGGCAGCTAAGTTAGTTAACCCAGCTCTGCTTTTGATAGAGAATAATTATTTTCATTTTATCATGACCGATTACATTGCCGTCATAATGGCTATACAAATTATAATGGGTCTCTACACTATTGAGTTTGTATGTATGCACATATGTATTATTCGTTCTCTCACTAAATAAGTGCATGTCTGACACCTTTGAGTGGTACACTAAATAGATCAGTGGTTTCCAACATTTTTGGACCAAAGCACACTTCAGTGAGAGAAAGAATTTTAAGGTGTACCTACATTTTACTTTCTTTCTACTTTCATAGAATTCGCAAATGTCGAATTTACTTGAAGACTTGCTAGGAAACTCTTTTTTAGCCAAATTACCTTATTACTTTTTATTAATCGACAGATCAGAATCCATTTATTTTTTCTTTCCAAAACCAGTTTACTGTGAATGCAAGGTACAGTTGGCAGGTCATGCATGGTGTCTACATTAATAAGTCAGACAGATCATCACAACAATTGCAGAGTACATGTAAGGCATTTTACATTCACATTTTTAAGTTTAATAGTGAAACAAAGTAAAACAAACCAAAAAAAAACGTGTCCTGTCCAACTAAGTCACAAGTGAGAATCCATATTTCGATACATAAACGTACTAAAAAAAACACCAAAATGTATTTTAAGGAGTGCATTCCACCTGTTACAGCCACAAGTCTTTGAGGTTGCTGTACGAGAGTACACTGCAAACCACTGCACTTGGTGACTAAGCAGTGACATAACAAAAGAAAGTTGCAATGCAGAAAAATGCAATGTTTACAAATCCCCTTAATCCAAGAATTGCACCTCCTCAATCTCATAAATCCCTGATGGGCTAAGAGGGAGAAAATGCAAAATGCCGCATACCGGTAGATTTTTTCTCTCCATTGTGTAATGGTGTGTATGTACTTGATTTTTACTTTAACATTAACACTTGCCTAAACCGAAACTATAACTTGGGGTCTCCCGTGATCATCCAAGAGCCCATGTTTTTCAGACTGATGTCTTCTCTTACGTATGAGAACATCTCATCAGATCACCTGTAATGTAAAACTTTCATTGTTTGGGAGGTGAGTTAAGAGGAGGATATAGGGATTTTACCTTCAAATAAAAAAGTGAACAAATTTAAATAAAAATTCCTGCACCGGGCATCCGCCTCATTGTTAAACTCCCTAACAATATGAGGGAGATTACTTGAAAATAATTTTTTTTTTTTAAATAGGCAAAAACTTTTAATATCTGCAATGCATGGTGGAAAAATTACTTTACAAGTGAAACATAAGAGCTAATTTCATTGTATAGATTGCCTTTGTTTACTAAAGAATTTGGCAAACTTTTACATCTATCTGTAATCGAGAAGTGTCAGCATTCTGGCAGAGAGGTAGCATTTTAAATGTCACTCAACAAAGTCCTTCGACCTGTGCCTTCTTTTGTTACACAATCTACTATGAGTGTTTGTACAAACTCACTTCTAAAGAAAGACACCTCAAATTTAAGTTACATTGAGCTATTGCAGGAAGAAGTAGAGAAGAAACCAGCAGTAAGTGGTACTATTATTCTGTCTTATGTTTCAATATTTAGAGCCTTATTCATTGTCAGGGCAAAGCTCAAGACATAACAAGGGACGTTGAGTTGCATGAAGCATATTGAAGTAGAGTCATTACACATAAATATCAGAGGAAACATTATTATCAAAATGTGATTCATAGGCCATTAACCCCTTCAGGACACATGATAGAAATATTCCGTCATGATTCCCTTTTATTTCTGAAGTTGTGTCCTTAATGGGTTAAAAAAACTGTTCCCATTTATTTATAGAAACGTCATCTATGATACATTAGCCATCTAACAATTATATCTAATTGTGCATTTATGTTTGCTTTACCAAGCAGAACAAATATGCAGAATTGAGTTTTCACTTGCATGCAAATTGCAAGATGATATTAGTATTTTTTATAGTATTAGGATCATTCCAATTTATTTAAAAAAACAAAACAACAAATACTGTATTTTAGCAGTAATAGTAATTTTAGTTAATATATGTCTTGTCAAAACAAAGCAAATGAAGAGAGAAGGATTCATTTAGAATTAGTATTGCAACATACTAAGCTAGAGAATGCCAATTTCTACTTGTAATTGAGATATTGGCAGTTAAAAATATATTTGTTATCAACATTACATTAGCTCACCACCCACCATCTGTGAAGCAGGTCGCTGGTGGGCAGTGTAAAAATAGGCAGGGCCAGCAATACCCAAAGCTGGAAGACCAACCTGGAAAGGTCTGCCTCAAATCTTAAAAGGTAAAAAAGAATAAAGGATCCACAAAACTAAGTTAATCAAATGAAAATATATTCCAAAGTGGACCCAGACTGGATTGTCGGGAACCAAGAGGTCTTTATCGAGAGTTTTATTCATCCTTATTTTTGTGATGATGTTCCCATTGCATCAGGGTTTGCATGTGTATATGTTGTTTACATGTGTGTATTTTTTTTATATGCCTTTTTTCCGCTGGGTCCACTTTCTGGTGGAAAAAAATCTTTATTTGATTAACTTAGTGTTGCCGCTCCATCATTCTTTTTTACTTTGCCAAGTTGATTGGGGAGTCACCTTGGAAGCTGGCACCTATACTATACAGGAAGTGTTCTGAATCTCCTACAAGTAAATACTGAAATATTGGAAGGTCAGTCTGACATGACTTTCTTTCAGACTGCTGGCCAATGAAGAAGGCTGACCTCGCTCAGAGTGCTGTTTCAGTACTCACTCTATGGTCCTAGTGTTCTGAGCAGGACTCCAGGGAACAAATTCGGGATGGCAGGACAAGACCATAAAATAGGTTGTGGCCTGCTGCAATTGGACGATCAGGAGGCCTATGTTAAGGAGCAGAGCAGACATGTTAGTTATTATATCATCATCTCTAACAGCAGCAATGCAACCACAGTCAGTGAATAAACCTCAGGGTTATTAATTGATCTAGGAATTATCAGTTATTAAACAGGAAATTGTAGATTTTCAGCTAAAGTATGCATACTGAAAACATGGCTGAATTGTAAAATTTGCTTGGTTCACCTACTTTGGACATAAAGCTTTAAATTCTCTGTTCGATTCCCAACACTTTCTGGTTTAGTGAATAACCATGAGTGTAACTAAAACACATACTTTTAAATTCACAGCAAGAATTATAATTTGATTGTACCTGATGTAGCACATTTCCTATAAATATCTCTCTGTTTATATCAGTTTAATCTGAGTGATAGAATTATTAATGGTATAATTGCAAGTACTGTTCTTTAACCAGGATAATCAGAAAGATGGAGATGGTGGTGGGGACAAAGCAGAAGATTCCAGCAGCAAGAAGCGAAGTGCACTTCCATTTAATGTTCTCTATTCAGTCCCGCGGGAGCTAATAATACCATCAGATCTTGGTGGCCAGCCGATTTCTAAAGAAACAGCAATGGTAAGCTTCACTTTTCAATAAAACAAGGGTTGAAACCTTAGAACATGTAAACAAAGGGCCCAGGGAATCGTATCTGCTGCTGTGCACAGATCAGGACTTTATTGAATTCCAGAACTAACGTTTTGTGTTGGCAAACAAGAAATAGCTACAGTTATTTAGTGATGATGTTTGTAATAATAACAATCCATTATTACTTATAGCTTTTATTCCAAAGGAGAATAAAAGTGCATTGCCGCATGCTGTCAGGTTTTAACGCACTGGAGAGCTGATTAAGAGGTGTTATTTTTACTCAACTTAATGCTACTAATTTTATGGAAGAATAAAAGTCTGAGTGGACTTTGCCAAGAATTAGACCTGCCACATTGAGGGTTTTGCAGGTGTATGAATCAAAAGTACTACTACAAGATTTAGAGTTAAAAAAAAAAGACCCTCCCCATACAGTTCTAATACTATGTTTTGTTAGTTTGTTGAAATCTCAGTTCCTAAGATGTATTATGAATTTTTATTTGTACAGTTCTTTAAAGGGACAGATCATTGCATTTGCATTGACCCCCAACATGCTTGTATAACAGTATACACAGATGTAGTTGTTTAAACTGTATATAGATATACACACACATAATCTTTATTCGTGACTACATAAATTCACTTTAACTGAAATTTCCCCATAAAGATTGAATATATAACTATTATAGAGATGTATGATATATTCACTGTAAAGTGTTTAGATACTAACACTACTTACCTTTTTTTTCAGTGCCACAATTGTATTGCTGTAGCACTCACATGCCTTGTGATTTAACTTTCCCTGCTTGGGGACATTTTGCCAAACAGGGCAATCCTCCTCCATAATGCCACACACTGGCTTCATTGCCAGTTTGACAGCTTCTGTATGGAGAGGCATTAGTCACTCCATTCCTATACTTCCTACCAAACACTAGAAGCACTGACTAGTCTGTAACCATAGCAACCACAGCACATGCTAGAGAAAATGAGTATGGTTCTCCTGCTCTCCATGTCAGTCACTTCTTTGGCAGAGGTCTATGCTGACTAATTGATTGACAGGTGGGGGAGGGACCTATTTTATATAGTTTTGTTTTTTTATCTAAAGACATACATGACTGATCTTTGCAGATACTTGCTGACATTGCACATTTTTACTGGGCCTATTGACTGTATTGTTCCTAAATCTTTCTTGTTCCAAATTCCTCTGACATTGCCCATGAAGGATACATGGTGCAAGTTTATTATTGTACCTAAAATTCACAACTTCATTTTTATCTGACTGTGCCCAATCTCCTCTGAGACTACCCAATCCACCAATGCATCCAAATTCCTCTGTTCAAACTACTTCTCTCTCATCAGAAAATATTGACAGACAAGAGACGTTGAATGTCAATCCCTGACACTCCCAGTGAAGTAGGCAATTTAGCTTAGTTACACTACTAGTTACACTCAAAAGAACATTCCAAGATTGGATTTATTAGCCTGAAGTAATTTGCTATTTACCAGACAAGGGTGAATTTATTTCTCTCCATTTTAGATGTATTTTCTCATAACATGATTTAATATGGATCTGTTTACTTTCAAAGGAGTTAAGAAGAATACTTTTTGGAAACACATTTTATACATTCAACTATGAGTGGAAAAAATCCTTCTTCAAATTTCGGGATCCGTATTCAGACCTGGCCTATTCCCTGGAAGCAGAAAAAGTGAGTAATCGACGATAGCGCTGCTTCCTAAAGAGAAGAAAATTGCCAGTCACTAATTATTTTCTATTTCGGCTATTCATGGCCTTTCTCATTAATTAAATACTGCATTCTGCTTGTATTAAGGCATAACTTTACATAAATATGACAAAAAAATCATATTAAATAAAAAATAGAATAAATAAATATGACTCTAGAATCATATCTACGAAACCTCTGTCATCAAAAGAACATCGTGTTTTGCCATTTCAAAGGAGATCAACATATTCACCATCCATATTAATTTATGCTGTGTCCAATCAGGCCCTAATATAAGCTATATTTTCTTCTTTTTAATGCTCAGCAGGCGAGGTGTATAAATGTCATGATATGAAAATTAGTTTTAGTTTCTAAATGTGGAGTAACCACCAATGAAATGTACCTGCTAGTTCAACTTGTTTCCATGGTGATTACCCTACTTTTCTGATAACACGATATTGATGATGAATCTATCCAGATGCATCTACACAAAAATATGAACAGATGTATCTTTTCTCCGTAGGGTGGAACCAGAGCTATTCAGATGGCGGTCCAGGCCCATATCATTAAATTCCTGATTTTTACAAATAATAGCGATGAACATGGCTCTCTTCAGAGGTAGGTGAGGAAGCACAGCAGTCCTTGTTTAACAGGCAAAATGATCCATACTTTGTATAGACAACTTTAGTTATGGTAGTTCCAACATTCGTGATATTACATACAGTGCATTCAGAAAGTATTCAGACCCCTTCCATTTTTTTTAACCTTTTTTTCTGAAGTAGTCTTATGCTACAGTTGTTTAATTATTATTTTTTTTACTTTAATCTACACGCAATACCCCATAAAAGGCAAAATCCTGATTTTTGAAAGCTTTTCAAATTTATCAAAAAGAAAAAAACTGAAATCTCACATTGACATACGTATTCAGAACCTTTGCTCTGACACTTGAAATTTAGCTTATATGCATCCCATCTTTCTCGATCTTCTTTGAGAAGTTTGTACATTTTGATTGGAGTCTTCCTGTGGCAAATTCTCCATTTCAAACTGGATGGCAAGCGCAGTTTAACAGCGCAAATGGACCCCACTGCTTTGTATAAAGCCTCAGTGCTGGGAGGAAGTGAGTACATTTAATTTTCTCACAGCTTACCAATGATCCGCACAGGAGAGAGGGGAGGATGATAGAGAGCAGGGAGATCCTGACCAGACTCGCATAAAATTCAGCCAGATGCCACTGGACCCCAGGGAAGCCACTCTCCTACACCAAAAAGATATAGAAGCAAGGGGGTGGCTAAAATATGTAATGTGATCTTAGTTTGTATGTGTGTAGATGTTATCTGTGTGTGTATCTCCTATGTATATATGTGTTATCTGTGTGTTTGTGTGTGTGTGTCAGTGTGTTTACATGTGTGCATCAGTGTGTATGTGCACAGTGTCAGTGTCTGTGTATGTATCTGTGTGTGTGTGTGTATATGTGTCCGTGTGTATCTGTGTGTGTTTGTAGGACACTGTATGTGCATACATACCAGCAATCAAACGTTAACTCTACACACAAACACTAAACACAAGTACACCAGTGTTTTTAAATAACAACAGTATACACAAACATACAACTGCATTCAAATCCCAACACTATACACAAATACATATATACATTCAAACACACAAAGCTGCTCACAAATAGAGCTCCGCAATGCTGAGTAGGATGAGTGCACGGTAGATCCCCGGCATTGTCTGATATTTACTTTTTGGCCATGCTTGCACTAGAGGGGACCCAAAATAAATTGCAACTGCCTACATAGGTTCTGCCACTGCTCTCAGGTCTATCTCACAGGCTCATTACCTTGGCGGTCTCTTTGATTCCAACCCTTTCCTTCACATCCAGTCAATCACTGTATCCTGTCGCTTCCACCTCAAAAATATAGCTTGCTCTGCCCTTACTTAACACCGTTTGCAGCTAGGGAGCTCGTCCATGCAGCTTTCATCTCCCGCCTTGACTACTACAATATGCTTCTCACCGGTTTCATGCACTACCAGCTCATTTTCCTGCCCCCTACCCTCCACGCGTCCCTCTTTCCCAGTCTGTCAGTCGTAAACTCTTTTAGCAATCTAATTTACATCATACCCTTGCCTCTTGTGCCATTTCACCCTCTCCCCATTTTTTCAGCCGTTTTTTTTTTTAGCAGGGCCCTACGCATATTCTGTTACTGTAAATCCATCTTGTTTGTTACGCCACCTGTTGAACAGCACCGCAGAATTTGTTGGCACTTTATAAATTATCAAAATAATAAATTGGGGATTATTTGGCCTTATCTATATAAGGTCTCACACTTGTAAATGCATTTCAGAGCGCAAACAAAGCTATGAGGTCAAAGGAACTGCCTATGATTGTATGATTGTACACAGCTTTGGGGACGGCTACAAAACACTTTGGCTGCTTTAAATGTTCCCAAGAGCACAGTGGCCAAATAACACAAGAGTGGCTTAGGAACAAATATGTGAATGTCCTTTTGTGGCCTAGCCAGAGCTCAGACTTGAACCCTATTGAATATTTCTGGAGATAAATGAAAATGGCTGTCCACAGCTGGTCCCTATCCAACCTGAAATATTGAGAAGATCTGCAGAGATTAATGGCAGAAATGACCCAAATCCAGGTTTTCCAAGCTTGTCAAGCCAAAAGACTTGAGAGTGTAATCGTTGCCTATGGTACTTCAACTAAGTATTGAATTAAGGGTTTGAATACTTACATCAATGTGATATACCAGTTTTTATCTCTTTAATATATTCGCAATGATGTAAAAAATCTGTTTTTTACCTTGTCATTATTAGGTATTTAGCGTAAAATTTTTTTACACAATTGTAACCTAAGGCTGAAACATAAAAAAATAATAATTAAGGGGTATGAATATGTTCTGAATGCACTGTAGATTAATTTTTCCAGTAGGTTGATGACATTACAAACAACCGCAGTTGTTTAAGGGCAAATAACATTATTTAGATTATAAATCACAGGGCGCATGAGCCTAAAATAAGTTAAATCCTATATTTACATTTTTATTTACATGTTTTCTTTTCTCAATAGTTTACATGAGATAGGCCCCAAACAGCAAGAAAGAGCCCTGGCTGCATCTCTAACAAACATTCTTTGGATGACAGGAGAAGGTAAAAGAGCCACACTCTGCCTCATCACCAACGATTCCTACTTTACAGAGAGCAAGGACTACAAAACAGATAACTTTACAGAACAAGTATGTAAACAGCATCAATAATGCATAACTGGCGATTGGCAATTTTGTTTTCAGTTCCCAACCACTACTTCCTTACTTAGCAGAATAACTTCTAAGAATCACAAATACATTAATACAATCAAGGGTACAAACCTGAGACACAGATATAAAGGTAAAAACAGATTAATGCAGCTATTCATTGTTGTTGTTATTATTATTAAAAAAAAAAAAAAACTTCCAATCCGGCCCCCCCCCAGCCATAGGGTTATATGGGGGGACCCAGAGTGCCCATGTCTCAGGGCTAGGGGGATAAGGACACTGCACCCAGACCGCTTCATTGAGATAATGCGGTCTGGTTGCCTGTAGTGTCCCTTTTAGTAATACATACAATATAAGGTGGAGATTCTTCTTATTATAACAGGTTATCAATAATAGGTAATCCTTTAAATGGCAGATTTGCCTTGGGAATATCCAACTGATTACCAAAGGAAACACTAGTGTCCTGCATGCGAGTGCTTCCTTCAAATTCCACTCCAACCTGAAGTGTGCATGTGAAGTTATTTTCCTGCTCACGCATTCCCAGTATTAGGGCTCGTCTGTATAGCTAACATATTAACAATAAACCCTTTTAGTAATGTACAGTACTATATATATATATAAAAAAAAAGAGATAAACTTGGCACTCACCCTTTGATGCAAATATATAAAAGAAATATTGCCTGGGTGCAAACCTCAGCGTTATAAATACAAAATATGAAAATAAGGTGCACTCTCAGGTCTTAAAAAAGTGCTTAATTTATTTCAGTTGCAAATTACATGTGCAAAATAAATCATCCAGTGATCGACGTTTCGACCCCTATAGGGCCTTTTTCAAGATCAAGATCATCTTGAAAAAGGCCCTATAGGGGTCGAAACGTCGATCACTGGATGATTTATTTTGCACATGTAATTTGCAACTGAAATAAATTAAGCACTTTTTAAAGACCTGAGAGTGCACCTTATTTGCATATTTTGTGTTTATTTTTATATATATATATATATATATATGTGTGTGTGTGTGTGTGTTTGTGTGAAAATGGTTAGAGAACACATTCAGACAATATGTAAAATGTGGTTAGGGACCTTTGCTAGTTAGCTTACACAAAAAGCAAGAGAAGAACATACCTCCCGATTTCTAATAGTTAAAGTGGCTCTGTCACCTTCTGGAGACTTTGCATATTTAGCAAAGACCCCCGATGGTGACATCTGCTTGGGGAAGAGAGGTGAGTTATACTTCCTCAATGTTGTCCCCTGTGGGTTCTGCCATCTTCTTTCTTCAGTTACTGGTGCTTCATCTGCCAAGAGACCATGTCAGTGCTGTACTCTCGTTAAAGTGCAAAAATATAGCATTGAAGTCCATGGAATATCCTGTGAGATTGCGGAGCCTCCATAAATGTTGTCTTCAAATGAGCAAGATAGTGCCTTATTAATACAGCCGTCGCTAGCAACAAAATGTCATAGAATTAGCTACAAAGTGTACAGTCTACAGTATTTTGTAAAGTGTTGTCAAGTTAGGGATTTACCATAAGACAAATTAGTTCATACTTTTTCTTATGGTATATTTTGACTGCATTATAATCTTAATAAAATTAAATGAAATATCAACAGTCTTTAGAAGCTTTTCATAAAGAATGTATCTTTACAAAAAAAACTAACTCTCTTTGGTGGGCAAGACCATGGTCGACGAAAAAAGTTAAATACACGTGCTCAGCGTCCTATCCAGATGTTGTCTTTGGGAAATAGACATATGAGTGCTGCCAGCATTGGTGCAGAGGTTTAAATGGTGTCAACCTGTCAGCCTGTCAGTGCTCAGACTATACTCCGCACACTGCAACAAATTGGTCTGCATGGCTGTCGTCCCAGAAAGAATCCTCTTCTAAAGATGATGCACAAGAAAGCCCGCAAACAGTGTGCTGAAGACAAGCAGACTAAGAACATGGATTACTGGAACCATGTCCTGTGGTCCGATGAGACCAAGATAAACTTATTTTGTTCAGATGGTGTCAAGCATGTGTGGCGGCAACCAGGTGAGGAGTGCAAAGACAAGTGTGTCTTGCCTACAGTCAAGCATGGTGGTGGGAGTGTCATGGTCTGGGGCTGCATGAGTGCTGCTGGCACTGGGGAGCTACAGTTCATTGAGGGAACCATGAATGCCAACCTGTGCTGTGACATGCTGAAGCAGAGCATGATCCCCTCCCTTCGGAGACTGGGCCGCAGGGCAATATTCCAACATGATAACGACCCCAAACACATCTCTAAGATTACCACTGTCTTCCTAAGAAGCTGAGGGTAAAGGTGATGGACTGGCCAAGCATGTCTCCAGACCTAAACCCTATTGAGCATCTATGGGGACATCCTCAAACGGAAGGTGGGGAGCGCACAGTCTCTAACATCATGATGTCATCATGGAGGAGTGGAAGAGGACTCCGGTGGCAGCCTGTGAAGCTCTGGTGATCTCCATGCCCAGGAGGGTTAAGGCAGTGCTGTGTGGTGGCCACACAAAATCTTGACACTTTGGGCCTAATTTGGACATTTCCACTTAGGGCTGCACTCAGTTTTGTTGCCAAGAGTTTAAACATTAATGGCTGTGTATTAAGTTATTTTGAGGGGACAGCAAATTTACATTGTTATACAGGCCGTACACTGTCCTGTTTCTGTTGGGGGCGGATCTACCCATAAGTGATGCTGCCATGATTATCCAGGAAACAGAGGACACTCTTGAGTTAGGAAATAGATGGACAATAATTACTGATTCTAATCAGGTAATTTTGTGGACATAAAGCTGTAGGGCAAAGGCCGACAAAGCTTGGGGACTCAGAAAATTGAGAGACACATACACACAAATACAGAAAGCTATCAGGTACAAGCACACTAACCCGAGGGACATAGAGTCACAAGGCTAGGGTGCACAGAAAGTTGGGGACACATAGACACAACACAAGGGTACATAGATACACTAAGCACTGGATCAAATGGATTAATGCGATTTGTTTGCTGTTTACTGTGTGTATGTAAGTAGTCAAGTCAGTAAACATATATAGAGGTTCAGCTGAATTTATTTATTTAACTGAAAATTGTATTAAAGGTTTTAAAGATTATGGGGAAAGGTACAAAAGGCAAGAGAGAGGAAAAAGTCACAGTATTTACACTGGTTACATCATATTAGGAGATTCAGCAGATTGTAACAGCTAATGAACAGCAGTAGAACAAAACTGGAAATAGAGCAGAAATAACTGAATTTCATTTTTTCTAAATTGCCAAATGGGTTTTACACAGCAAAGGTGAATTTGGACAATAGAACTTCATTTTACTAGTATTCGGCACTTTAGTAACAGACTTCAAGGGGGCAAGTATAACACTAGACAATAAATATTTGCTAATTTTGTTTTAACTAATAAGCATAAAGTAAATGTTGAAACTGTGTCAATGTATTTACAAATGAATGAATTACTAGTTTTTGCATGTTCATAACATTGTTATGTTTTTTTGTGCAACATAATTAATTTGTTCTTTGTGAAAATATCGTCAGTCTATGTGATGTGTATTTTTCTAAACCCCTACACAGTTATTAACCCGTAATAGGGAACACATCGGGTGGGCGGCAGCACTGTGACATGGTTGTGTATTGCAAAAGCAAATACAAAAATACAAAAACATGGTCAAATCTATATGCATATTTTTAAAAAAAACTGGAGGATTTTAGTACCACTCCAGTGGCCACTTGAATATGTTCCCTATTATGGGTTTATATGTTTGTAGGGGTTTAGAAAAACACCCTTTCTGATTTTCTTGCCTGTGACAGTATATACTTGCCTTTTTGGTTAAGGCAACCTCCTCAGGCAGGAAAATAGTTTTTATGTTGATTTGGAATAAAGTTAGGATTAGATAGTTACATAATAATCTAAATTGAAAAAAAGACCATTGAGTTCATCCTTTCGATTTAGTTTAACTCAAATAAAACGTCTTCATTGTTGCTGTTTAAAGTCAACAGCTGCCAAGAAGCCTTGACCTACAGGCCTTGTTGAAGCAATATAAATGTAGAAATCTATCATGAAATACATTGATTTAATTGTTAAAACGATACATCCACCAGGTCACAACCTTGTGTGATGAGTAATTGCTTGCCCAGCCTGTCACAATGCAAACAAAACACACACACATTAATTCAAGAACCTTGCGCATTGTAACATACTGTTGCATAACTCACTACAATAATTTGTCTGTTTGATTCAGATAATTCTATAACAATCACAGCAGCAGTGTAACCTTACCTTATTTTTTCACACATAATGACAGGCTGTGACACAAAAACTGTACTCTAAACAGTTTCTAATAATTTCTGGGCCTCTTCTTCAAATCCTGTGCCTCGTACATACTGCATAATAGGGGACTGGAAATCTTTTGGACCCTAACAGAAACTCTATACCTGGGAATAATAGTAGTTCACTGACCCAAATGATTGCCTCTTCCTTTACCTGTGGACTGAAACAGGCCTTCCCTTCCCAAGAGAAAGGATAGTCCTATATTAGGATAGTCCAGGGGTAGATCCCCCGATGTTGTAGAACTACAACTCCCATGATGCCTTGCATTTCTTTAGAATGACAAAGCATTATGGAAGCTGTAGTTTTAAAACAGCTGAGGTTCTAACTTTTGATCACCCCTGGGATAGTCCGTATCGGAAAAGTCTCAGGATCAGTGTGCCCTGAAAAATTGCCATTTCTTGACAAATCTGGGCAAGAAGTGGGATAAGCTAGCTTCCAGTGTCCCATATCCAAAGAAAAACATATTACCCAGAGAGATCCAACAATTACCTCTCATGCCCTTAGTCCCCAAGGCCTGTTCAGTTTCAGGGGTCCTCGGTATTCTCATGTAGTATGCTATGGATTCCAACTATTTGGAAGACGTCAACAATACTGATTTTGTGTTTGAAGAATGACTGAGATAATGTTCTTAAAATATTTTTAATTGACAGCTTCAATTATTTGAATTCATGGAGAAAGAAAAACTGGAAAAATTCCTTTCCGCCCATATACATTGCGTAAGTGTATTGATATATAAACATCTATTCACCTGTGGATCATTTATCCCTTCATCAAATGTAATTGCATTTTTAAAACTTCAAAAACACATTTATTAAATAAGGGGGTAAGGTAACACAATTTTAAATTCCTGGGATCTGACAATTGTTTGTTTTCACTTTCATGTATCTCCTAGTTTAGAAGCGAGGGGTGTCACGGTGTCATATTATTCCTATACAGCTTGCTTCTGTCTCGAACCTTCCAAAGGTAAGCATTTTGTGAGTGGTTCTATCACTAAAGACCATATACAAGTGTCAAATGCCCTTCTTATTAAACATTTTCAGATCTATACAGTCTGGCCTCCATTAAATGAGTGAGCCTTTCCATTTTGATATAGGATAAAGTCTGTCTGTTATAACATAATTATTTGGTCATTAGCCCATAAGGAGTTAATGGAAGGGCTAGGAACAAAGATATGCCTGGAGTATAGAGAAATAGATATCAATTGGGAGGAGAAGAGAAAGAGTGTCCGGTGTTTATGAACTGCAGTTAGGTTGTTGTTAGAAGGTTTAAAGTTTTGTCAGTGGGAACCTGCTGACCAAAAGTACATGAAATATGCAGAGTTAAAGGGTCACTCAAACCATGATAACCACTACATCTGTAGTGGTTATGATGTCGGGAGAACCTTGTCTTGAACCGTTTTAGTAACGGTTTACCCCCTTACCTGGAACCCTGCCCTGCTCTGATGCTTCCTAATGGTCCGGTAACATGCATCCTGTTCCTCCAGAGCTGCTCTCTGAATTTTTCTTGGCTGACAGCATCAGCTGACCGCTCTTAGCCAATGACTGGAAAGTTGCACAGAATTGACATTAGCCAATCTGGAACTCTAGTTCTGAGCTGGCTGATGACACTCCAAAGACGCTGCCAGAGGTGGAGTTACAACTCTACCAGCTAAGAGGTTAAACTCCATGCCTCCAGCTTTTGACAGTAAAACACTGCACATACAGACTCCAGGCCCCGTGACCACTTCAAATCACTCCAGTGCTCATGATGCTTGCATTAACCCTTTTAAGTTCAGTGGTGCAGTAGCATCAATATAAATATTGTGGAATGATCTTTCAGAATGATGAAATGTCTAATCAACTGAGGGTACTTGCAAAAGGTGCAAGCGTCCTTTTCATACTTGTTTTAATATTCTTTAAAAACTATTTTCTTTATTAATCTCAGCGATGAATACTTTTATTTCTGGCACTATTCAATTTTATTGGAACTGGTTAGAACAAATATGAAAAAGCTGTGATATAAAGTGAGATTATTTGTATGTACGTTTTCAGTAACATACTATATTTTTTATAGACTTTGGGAAGACCTAGATTTTACAACAACTCATCTCTTACACTTCAATCTTGGAAATCACACAGCTAGACAGGTATAGTGACTGGGAAATTGTTTAACTACTTTTAAGCTAAACATTATTTTAAATTCATCATAAATCATTAACATCTACACTGCAATCAGAGAATTATCATAAATTGTGCCCGTGTGCTTATGTATTATTTAAGCAGCCGTATCACTTTTATTTTTTTTCATCTGTATTACTCTATTGTGTCAGCAGGGGCAGCCTAGATTTCCCCTTTTTTTAAAATTTTTTGTAAAAAAATGTTTATAAAGGTATACATAAGGAAAAGCAGAGACTTTTCCTTTTGTGGAAACTGCAAGTTAAAAAAAAGTTGACAGAGCGTGGAGCTTTAATCACGTTCCACATTATTTTCAACATTGTCATTGGTTCTTACTCACCTCCTCCCACCACAGAGTCGCCTCTTCACGATGTTGATGCTCACAGGATCCTGCTGAAATGGGCATGGGTGTGATTTGACATGCATGGGAAATATGCCACAGTAGATTTACCAGGATGGCAGCACCATAAATGAAGATCCACAAGTTTTGGATGGCTAGGGGGATCCTAAGAAATACTAGGGGCAGGGATGAGCAAAAGTAAAAAAGGATGCATTAACCGTTTGATAAATTCTTGGTGTTAACTAGTGTTTGTTGCACTGCATCTGTGCCAATACACCAACTCTTTTTTTGGATCATCCACTCAAAGGCTTCTAAGCGGTTTATAATAAATCACCAAAGAAAGGGTCTGAATTATTGTTTTGTGTTCCACAAGAGCCATTGGTGCACTGCCAAGAATGGTTAGATCAGTAACAATAACAAGCCGTAATGCCTCAGATTATAGTGGAACTAGAACTTCTCCGCAAGCTTTATTGTTTATTGTTAAAAAGTTTTATTGGGACGAGTAGTGCATCGGAGGTAAGTATATTGCACTCTCCTGCTTTGGGAGCACCCAACGCATGCTAGGGCATGTGTGAGAAATGCTTTATAAATGCATGCATTCTCTAACAAGTGCTGTCTGTGTGTGTGTGTCTGCCTGTGTGTGTGTATATATGTGTCTCTGTGTGTTTGTATGCGTGTGTGTGTATGTATGTGTGTCTGTGCGTATGTGTGTGTCTCTGTATATGTGTGTCTATGTGCGTGTCTGCATGTGTATCTGTTTGTCTGCATGTGTGGAGAGGGAACGTATGGGAGGGGGAGGATAGAGGTATGCTGGGGTGGAGGGGGGAAACGTATGGGAGTATAGATGTATGGTGGGGTGGCGGTTGGTAAATGTATGGGAGGGGCGGGTCCCAGGGCAACTTTCGGTCTGGGTCCCTGTGGTTTCTAGTTACGCCTTTGCTGTATGTGAACATACTCACCCACATACAGAATCATTATTCTGCATGAAATGCCAGAGCTGCGCCAGGACAACCAGGAATACAATGTCAATTATTTTTAAAAGTTCATAATTAAAAACATAGCATAACTCAAGGATATTTTATAGCTATCCTGTTGAGCATAAAGTTCCAATTTAAATGCTGCGTATGACTATTTGATTTTCAGGCTGTTGTAAACCTGATGCTAACGGGACGAGCAAGTCCGCATGTATTTAATGGGGACCAAACACTGGATGCAGAGAACTTGGAGCAGAAGCATGGCGTTCTCATTCGCAGCAATGTGGGCTATTTACATTGGGTGAGGGAAGAAGAGGAGCTCGACAGACTTCCCCAGGTATAAACAGACTGTAGATACTGAGCTGTGAGTCTGCATGCATACAGTATATACTATTAACTTCCTATCCCTATCTTTACAGGTGGGAAGCATGCTGAAAACACCGAAATTTCCCATATGGCTTTGTAACATTAATGGGACGTACAGCGTACTATTTGGCACAAAAATGTCTCTTTTATGTGACTGGAAAATGGAACATATTTTTGAGCTTTATTTCTACAGCGGGCAATCTACACAGACAAAAACCGTACATCTAACAATAGGTAGGGAACCATTACATTTATTTTGTTTATCAGCATTTTAAAGCTGGATTCTATCGCTAAATGCACCACATTCTCTCTATCAGAACATGTCTTTATTATTAAATAATTTTGATTGATTTATTTTAATTAATTGTTTGTATATTATCTGGTTCCTCTCCTAGACACACACTCACACCATTGGGAAGGAAGATATAAAAGAGACGAAGGTGACCCAGAAAAAAGATACCCCTCAGTTGAAATGACGATAAGAACCAAATGGGAGGGAGCAGCTATCAACTGGAATGGCACGGTTCCATTCTTTTAGAAAGCCCAGCATAATAAAATAACATCATTTCTCATTACCAATGTGTTTGACATACAGCAACATTTAAAAACCTGGTTTCTGCTGGACCGAAAGTGGATTTCACGTTTACTTACAAATTGTTTATTTTCTTTTGCCACTTTGAATATAAACTTAAGTTTCTTCCAAGCGCAATTATTTTCTTGTATCAGAAACGTAACCTGGTTGGAAATATGGTCATTAAAGTTCTCAAGAAATGTTTTGCAAATGTGAAAATATCCAGCAAAGATGTGAAAATTCTGCCAAACGGTGACAATCAATAGCTTTTAGTATTTCACTGCACATTAAGTACACTTACAGAGGTAAGTGAGACTTCCATGTTAGTGTATAACATGGGTCAAGCGAAAAATATTGATCTTAAAGGAGCACTATAGTGTTATAAATACAAACATGTATTCCTAATGCTAGTGTTATTATAACTGTTATTAGATTAGACTATTGGGTCCTCTCTAATTAAGCAAATTAAAGAGATTTACCGTATTTTTCCGTGTATTAGACGAGCCCTATTTTTGAGCCCAAAATTAAGAAATACATATTTTTAAACATCTATAGCACTGAAGTCCCAACCAGTCCCAAGGTCGCACCATGCGGCGTCTATTTGTAGTCCAGAGCCGTGAGGTCTTGGCATGATCCAGTGTGATGTGAGGAAGCATGCGTTTGCCCCGTGCCCACAATCGATCAAATTCACAGATCAGTACCTCCTCTGCTTCAAGTATGTCAGCAGGTCACAGAGTTGTACAACACAGCCTATGCACACAGGAACTTGGCAGTAACAAACACAACAGTCAGCTGAGTGTTCTGTCAACGAGTAGCCAAGTTTTGTGCCCAAATTACACTGAGTAAGTACTGTAAGTATTTGGCTTGAAGGAGCACTATAGAGACCAGGATCCAGTTTCCAGTTGATAGACCTCTCCCAATCCAGAGAGTAAAGCAGGATAGCGCTTACAAGAGCTAGTGATTATAATCCAGGGGGGCATAATGAGTATAGCAATCCCCAGAGTGAATATAGCTGTTCCCTCCACACATGAGATGAGGCTCTATGTTGAGGAACTGATTTAATGGGAGCCACATGCAGCCTTATATGCAACTCCCCATGCAAGGGGTTTCCGGATACATATTCCAGGGGCATTCCTCTCTGGACCTGAGAGGAGTCTACAGTAAAACATACACATAATTACATTGACTCTCAGGCCCAAGAAAATCCCACACAAAACAGGGTAATCCCTCCCCTGTGCCTGAGAGAAAATTGGGTCAGGAACTGTACTAAACTCGTTTATGTCCAGGCATAGAAAACATACATTTTAAAAACATCCCGAAAGCACCCCTAAAACACATGGAAACCCCACAAAAGTCACATCCACTGATATCCCCAATCTGGGGGACCAACATATCCAAAAATCACCCAGATCGGTTCAGGGGTTCAGGATTTTCATGGAAGTCATAATTTTGACCGACCGTGCACATGGTCCTATGCCCAAAACAGTTCCAGGGAATCAGGGCTAACAGTCGGTCTCTCTTTCTGGCGTACAAAAGTACATAAATCACATAAACTGAACATTTCAAAGTGCATTTGGCAAGGTATATTGCAGGGCACACAGTCCTGAGGCATGAGGCTGCAAGCAGGCTCCTCCAGGAGACCATGGCGAGGTTCTGTTTGTAATTTGTTTGTTTGTAATTGTAATTTAGGGCCATCACCCGCTGCTCAGTCCTCTCCCCCATTCTCATTTAAAGCCCCCACCCGTCGCTCATGGGTGGGGGCCGGGGGGGACCATATTTTAATTGAATAGCCCGCACGGGTGGGGGCCATTATGTCCCTCCAGTTTAGTTAAGAGATGCCCCACAATGGGGCCATTTATTGGGGGGGGGGGATTATTTATTTTATATTGTTTTACAACAGTGAGCAGCCACAGGATGTTTTCAGCAAGCAAGGGGCTTGGGTGTTTATTGCTGAGCATGGGTCACTTTCTGGGGGTTTTCTGGACACATCTTTCTTAGGAAAATAGCTCTGAAATCTAAAAAAAAAAAAAAAAAAAACCCTGTAAGAAATGTGCATATCTATTTGTGTGAATACTAGTTAGACAAAATGATTTTAACTAGGCAAATGGTGTTTTAAAGCTAAAACAACAATTTAACTAGGCAAAAACCATACTATAGATAGTAGGCAAATAGAGAGCGCGAGAGAGAGAGCAATATATAACATTAAGCAATGCTAGATAGGGATATTGTCCATGGTGACCCCAAGTGGTGAAAACGTGTAATAAATTAACATTAGACAAACATTAAAAAACAGTGATCATAATGCCCTCTAGTGGTAAAAAAATATAATAAATAGCTGTAAAGCTCAGTTTGACAAATTTATTAAATTGATTACATTCTGTTATAGCCAAAGCTACCACAGCCAAGCTCTGATAGCCATAATAATAAAAAAAAAAAGGTACAAAACAAGAAACAAGTGTGACATATGATTCACAAGCAACTTATGTAGGGCTATTCAATAAAGGGGGAATCAACCAGAGAATGTAAAATTTGCACCACAATATCTGAATTTGAAACAGAGCTCCGCCTCTGGGTGTGAGGAGTTTATTGGGTGCAGACCACTTTAAAAGATCCCTTGCTGACCCCTCCCCTCCCCTTTTGGTCAGGGCAGTTTGGACAGAGTGACAAGCATGGAATCCGGACTGAAGTGGGTCGGGCAGATAGTTGGATTCAAGGAAGTCAATCTAACGTACACAACTCTCTCAAAGTTATTGACAGCAAACGTTAGTAGTGAGATAGGGCGATAGTTGGATGGAGCGTTAGAGTCAAGGTTTGGCTTTTTTTTTTTAATCGGGGTGATGGTTGCATGCTTGAAGGGTGAAGGATATATGCCAGAGGAGAGGGAGATATTTAATATTTTAGTGTGGAGAAGAGCAAGACAAGTAGATAAAGCACGAGTGAGATGTGAGAGAACAGGATCGAGGGGACAAGTGGTGGGGCTTGAGGACCGAAGTAGAGCAGAAAACTCTGGCGTGAAGGGTGGGAGTAAGCATAAAACAGAGGAGCTACCAGTTTTCAGAGCAGTTTCACTCACACTATGCCTTTACAATAACTTATATTTGTATTTTTTTAATATTAGTGTTTGCATTTTCCTCATATAGTTTCCTTTAACATGATCCCAGGGCAGGGCTGGACTGGGGATACAAAGCAGCCCTGGAAAAAAATCTATGCCAGCCCCGCAGCACGGCGTGGGGAAAAAAAAAGGTGAGTAAAAACACTATTTTTAAACACACACAGACACACACATACACCATGACAGACACACACATATACCACGACAGATGACAGACACACACTCCATGACAGACACACACATACCATGACAGACACACACACACCTTGGCAGACACACACCAATGACAATGACAGACACGCACATGTCTTGACAGACACACACACACCATGACAGACACCCACACACCATGACAGACACACACACCTTGACAGACACAGAAACACCTTGACAGACACACACATACCATGACAGACACACACACACACCTTGGCACACACACACCTTTACAGACACACACATACCATGACAGACACACAGATTTCTTAACAGACACACACGTCTTGACAGACACACACACACCATGATAGACACACACACGCACCTTGACAGACACACACACACCATGACAGACACATACCTTGACAGACACACACATACCATGACAGACAAACACACACACCTTGACAGGCACACACACACACCTTGACAGACACACGCCATGACACAGACACATACACTATGACACAGACACACACCATGACACAGACATACAGACACACACACACACACACACACACATACCATGACACAGACACACACCATGACACAGACAGACCATGACACAGACACATGCACCTTGGCACAGACAGACATACACATACACACACACACACACACACCATGACACAGACAGATACAAACACACACACACATCATGACACAGACACACACCATGACAGACAGACACACACCATGACAGACACAGACCATGACACACACACACACACACACACCATGACACAGACACACACACTGACATGATATAGCTACCTGTGGGCGACCGGACAGGAGTCTTGCAGGGCAGACAGCTGAGTCAGGTGTGCTGGTGGCCGCAGGGGGAGCTGGCTCCTGGTTGTTCCGGCGGCCGCAGGTAGGAGCTGGCTGTGCTGGCTCTGCTCCCCAGCGTGCAGCTTAATTAGACCGGATATTCCGGAACAGCCAGCTCCCCCTGCGGCTGCTGGAACAGCCGGGAGCCAGCTCCCCCCCTGTGGCCACCGGAACAGCCAGGAGCCAGCTCCCCCCTGCGGCCGCAGGTCAACCAGCTCTCTGTCCGGCCCCAGGTGCCGATGGCCCACGGGGAAATTTCACGATATCCCGGTGGGCCAGTCCCACCACATTTTCCTGACACGTGGCAGAGTTTCATACTCTCTCTTAGGAATTCTCAATGATTACTTGGTGTATTTCCTCCAATATGCATACATAATCTACATACTGCAGAGCAGTACTTTTCATGTGCTCTCCATCAGCATTTAAAAATAATAATTTTGCAGGAAATCCTGGAAGAGGTGGCATCAGTAGGTGTAGCTAGTATCTTCCCACGTATATAAACAACGGAGCCCATCTGCAAGCTAAAAGAAGCTGCTCAATGGTTGCTATGAGTTTACAGAATCATTTTGTGATTCTAATAACTTGTGACTACTGAACTACATAATCCAAAACGTCGGTCGTACACAAGAAAGGCATACTGCACCCACTGAAAACTTACCTAGATTTCAGTAAGGCTTTTGACACTGTTGCACATAGAAGGCTTATCAATAAACTGCAATCTTTAAGTTTGGATTCAAATATTGTTGAATGGGTAAGACAGTGGCTGAGTGACAGGCAACAGAGGGTTGTAGTTAATGGAATATATTTGAAGCTTGGACTTGTCACCAGTGGGGTACCTCAGGGATCTGTACTTGGACCCATTCTCCTTAATATTTTTATTAGTGATATTGCAGAAGGTCTTGATGGTAAGGTATGTCTTTTTGCTGATGATACTAGATATGTAACAGGGTTGATGTTCCAGGAGGGATAAGCCAAATGACAAATGATTTAGGTAAACTAGAAAAATGGTCAGAATTGTGGCAACTGACATTTAATGTGGATAAGTGCAAGATAATGCATCTTGGACGTAAAAACCCAAGGGCAGAGTACAGAATATCTGATAGAGTCCTAACCTCAACATATGAGGAAAGGGATTTAGGGGTGATTATTTCTGATGACTTAAAGGTAGGCAGACAATGTAATAGAGCAGCAGGAAATGCTAGCAGAATGCTTGGTTGTATAGGGAGAGGTATTAGCAGTAGAAAGAGGGAAGTGCTCATGCCATTGTACAGAACACTGGTAAGACCTCACTTGTAGCAGGGGCGGACTGAGAACCCTCAGGGCCCCCGGACAAAATAAATCAAGGGCCCCCTTACAGGCCCCACCCGTGCACCGCAGCAAGCCCCACCCTTGTCCCGCCTCCAGCCACACCCTACACAATCTTTAGACACAAGGAACAAAAGTGCAATAAGATTAACAAATGCAAAAAATAAACTGTGCAAAATAAATAACAATAATCCCCTCAAGACCCCAGTAGAGACTACAATTGAGGGCTAATGGGCCATGGAGGGGGGTCATTCTAGCAGAGGCTATCTCAGTGTCCTTTAGAGAGTGTGTTAGAAAGAATCTCCTCCTGGCCCCATTAGAGACTACAATGGACTTCCTCTTACTTGTAGCCAGGGAGGGGGGGCACTGAGTGTGTGGTTGTGTAGTGGATGCAGTTTGTGTGTTTATGTGGTGGATGATGTATGTGGTTGTGTAGTGGATGATGTGTATTTTTGTAGTGGATGATGTGTGTGGTTGTGTAGTGGATGCATTTTGTCTGTTTGAT